CTCCTTGTTTTTAATTCGAGTGTACGGTCACCACCGTATATCTAGACCAATTAACGAAGACAATTCATTAGCTAATACAGCCTATAACCAAAAGGTCCAACGTTTGAGGTGGACAACAAATGAAATGGCCATTTTTTACCGGTTAATTTTGAAGAGTTGCAACGAATCAATTCAAAAACAAAAAGAAACTTCCTTCTCTCAAAACTGAACTACTCTCTCTCTCAAAAATTGAAATCACTTCGCAAATGATGCAACCACTCATAGTCGTCGTATTTAAGAACGAAAACGATGATAATCGGCAGACGGTGTTAATGTGAACTAAAAAAACGTCATTGTTCGGTTGAAAGAAAGTAACAACAATTTGTAAAACGGATCAATTGTTTTGAGCATTGAAGTGTTAGTGTTTAAGTACTAAGAGGGAAGAGAGTCATGGACATAGACACATAGTAGCTGAATGGAACATGATGTCGACGGCAGATGAAGAACATGTAAGTGCGAAAGCATATGAGAAGTATGTAACATTTATACTTTTGTATTTTATATTTTAGTTGTCATAATATGAATGTGCTTGCATGTTGGGGAAATTAGAGAAGCAATTAAAATGATTTTGATGAACTTAATCTGATTATGAATTTGATGTGTGACATGTGTTGATTAAGTATATCAGTGGATTTAGGTTTTGTTCAATGTAAATTAATTACTTCTCATTTTACTCACATTTTCATTTATATACGTATTAAGTACTTAGAACATGGTTATGTTGTAATAAGGTTACTTGAAAACTGCTATAATATTCATTATGTGGTATGTATAGTAGTACTAATATCATATGTCAATAAAGTGCTACGTGCTTTAATCGTACTGATTTTTTTTTTTGAAGAATATTCTTATTAGTGATGGTGTCACATGAAAATTGATATGATACTCATAAGTACTATCAAATTTGTTATAGAATATAGTCATTCTATCACACTTTACATAAAAGTGTAACTATGGTCATCATGTGAGTATCATATGCTCATTTTGTAGTAATTTTGTTACATCACAATTGTTCTATGTGTTTTTATTGGTGATATGTCACATTAAAATTGAAGTGCTACTCATAATGTGATCATTCTTTTTAAATGCCCAAATAGTATTATGTGTTCCTCAAGTGTTGTGCAATTTTTGTTTTAGAATATGTTTGTTCTGTAATACGGTTACATGAGAATTGTTCATGTGCTCATCATATGAATGGAATATGATCATTTTATAATACATTAATATGAGAAATGCTCATATATGTTTTTATGATACTGAAACGTTTGTGAATATGCTTATTAGTGATAACGTTACATGAAAACTGATATTATACTCATAATGTGATCATTGTTTTCAATTGCCCAAATAGCACCATGTGTTCATCAAGTGTTGTGCATTTTTTGTTTTAGAATATTTTTGTTATGTAATACGATTACATGATAATTGTTTATATGCTCATCATTTGAATGGAACATGCTCATTTTATAATACATTAATATGAGAATTATCCATATGTGTTTTTATAATACTGAAACGTTTGTGAATATGCTTATTAGTGATAATGTTACATCAAAACTGATATCATACTCATAATTGGATCATTATTTTCAAATGCTTAATAGTACTATGTGTTCATCAAGAATATGATTGTTCTGTAATACGGTTACATGACAATTGTTTATATCCTCGTCATTTGAGTTGAACATGCTCATTTTATAATACATAAATACTCCCTCCGTCCCAGGGAGAAGTTCCCGGGTTGACTTTCACACATATTAAGGAAATAAAGTTACTGGGGGGTAAATTTTACTGTTTGGCACTGTTTCGACACTGTTTGGCACTGTTTCGACACTGTTTTGCACTGTTTAGCACTGTTTGGCACTGTTTTGATGTAGAATAACTTTCCATTTAGGGAAATTGGAACTTCTTGTTGGGACTGCCAAAAAAGGAAATTGGGAACTTCTCCCTGGGACGGAGGTAGTATGATAATTGTTCATAGTGTTTTTATAGTACCAAAACGATTGATAATATATATGCTTTTTAGTGACAATGTTACATGAAAACTGATATTATAGTGTGATCACTCTTTTCAAAATGCCCATATAATGCTATGTGCTCATCAAGTACTATGCAACTTTTGTTTTAGAGTATGCTTGTTCTCAAATATGGTTACATGATAATTGTTCATTTGCTCATTATGTGAGTGCATGCAATATGTTCATTGTATAATACATTAATATGAGAATTCCTAATATTGGTTTTTATAGTACTCAAATGTTTGCAATTATACTTATTAGTGATAGTATTACATGAAAACTGATATGTTACTGATAATGTGATCATTCTTTTAAAATTCCCATTGACCGTTATGAGTTTATCAAGTACTGTACAATATTTTTTAGAATATGCTAATTTGTATAATACTATTACATAACAATTATGAATATTATCATCATGTTAGTAATATATGCTCATTATGTAGTAATACCGGATAAAAGAATTATTTGAGTAGCTTATATGTTTACTAGCTCCTGGTATAATCATATGATTTGCACATAGGGTACAATGTACTTATCAAGTATTGCAATGCATTTGTAAATCAAGAATTGATTTCTATTACTCATTTAAACTAATAATGCAGGAATTTAGAACCAAAGACAATAATTCAGATCTCATTACTGTGTATAGAGCCAAAGAAGAGATTAAAAAGACTTCAAAAGTTCAGCAGAAGAAGGGAATTATGAAGCATAAAAGAAAACCAGTTACAGTAAAGGAGAAAGTTGTCAATGATCTGATCAAAGAGAAAGAAATTGAGGGGGTGGAGGGACATCTCAATATAATTGATCAAAGTAAAGTCTCAAATGAGCGACAGAATGAATAAATACACAAGATCATGAGGAAATCTACACGATGAATGAGGAAGAAACAAGGAATGATGAAGCAACTAAAGAAACACTGATTAACTGTTTCAACAACACAATGTTGAGGTTACTGAACTAATGATGACCAAAATCAAAATGAGCATGAGTAGGGGATGATGTGCAGGGGAATGATCTATTTGAAGAACATGATGCTAGCCGTCAACCGAAAGAGCATGATGTAGAAGTAACAGAGCAACATAGTACTAAGAATGAGCAAAATCAAAATCTAGAAGCAGCACGAAAGGGTGGTGTGTAGAGGAATAAACAGAAAAAAAGAAAGGAAAAAATGTCAAATCCAGGAAGATTTCATCAAAGTGGAGTGCAACACAACTCAAGCAAACAGATAAACCGTGAGGATGTGACACAAAAAAGTATAACAAGATCAACAATATCAGAACAAAGTGAAAAGAAGAAAGATGAAGTTCAGAAAGGGAAGAAGGAAGATGATGCAAGAAAGAAAAGATCAGAACCAGGAAAGCATCGTCATGAAAAGCACAGAAAGAAAAGACAAAGAAGAAGCAAGCTCAAGAAGAAGAACTACAGGAAAATGAGGACACATATGGGTAGGAAATTAAATAGAAAAGCTTGTGGGCGGGGTAGAAGTAATCACAAAGAAAACAATTGATGAGCGGAGTGGCGGAGGGGAATTAAAGTGAAAAAGGGTGGATAAGAAGTTGGATGGAGACTAACTCGCTGAAGCATCGAAGGGATGGAGGATAATGATAAAAGAATGGTAACTCAAGTAAAGCGTGATGGGGATGGAGATTATACTAACCCACAAAAATTTAAGTTGAAAGTATGTAAACATAATTTATATTTCATGATAAAACATGCTCACAAAATTTTATCAAAACATCTATCAAGAATCATCTCAAATGGCAGTGACCAAATAAGGGTCCTGTCTGGACGGCTGGGCATGATCATTTACCTCTTATTGTATACAAGGGTTAAAGATATGAACCTCAAATGATTTGTGATGACAATAATCAACAAATTGATCATAATAATAATGTTGTTTCCAAAGAGGTGTTTCTAAATTTGATCATTATAAACGTTAATCGTACTCTTCTTAACTACGAAGTATTTAACTCAGGAAATATTAAAAATAGTAATCTCAACTATTCTCGGTCCATTGTTAATAATCCCAAAGTATCGATTATTCCTGGATAATCCCAACTATAAGGGTCATTTTCCAAAAATAGTCCCTAAACAGTTACATCCTGGTATAGCAGGTTAATTTTAAATGCGAACTATGGGTATACTATAAATAATCCCAACTATGATCGATTTTTTTTATTAATCTAATATCAACTCTCAATTTTCGGAACATGTAGAAATATTTTTATAAATTTCTGAACAAAATGTTTTTAAACTTGAAAAAATAAATACAAAAATTCAACAAATGTACCGAAATTAATAAATAAAATTTAAGTCATTTTGTATTTATTTTCACTAATTTTTTTCCTTTTTCCAATTTGTTTTTCACAGTCATGTTACCAATTTATGATTGTATTATTTTACTTTATTCAAATTTACATTTTTTATGTTTGAAAAAGTAAATTGTGAATTTTTTTTACAAATTAGATCTTTATTATAGCTTAATCTAAAATTTTAAATTTTCTGTTTACTCCATTTCAGTATTTTTAACTTCTATCAAAGAAAATATGTGAATAGCTTGAAGTCACGACATAAAATTTTTTACCAAAAGCCACACATTATCTACCAAAAGTAGTTGGGATTATTATTATTAATGTGATACACTTTCTACATTTTTACAATTTCCATTACATCACTTAAAATTATAATATTAATATATTCTCATTTAAAATATTTCAAACCTCCAAAACATATACCCGAATCACTAAAGTTATATGACAAAATATATAATATAATTTAATTTTTTTAAATAAAATAGAAAGAAATTTGAAATACTAAAATGGGAAAATAGAAAATTTAGATGTTAACAATTAATATAGAAAAAGAAATAAATAAAAATCTAATCATAGTTTTTTACCTTTTAAAAACAGAAAATGTAAATTTAAATAAAGGAAAATAATACAAAATCATAAATTGGGAACACAACTGCTAAAAAACAAATTATATTTTGTACTGCGTATTGGTCGTTGTGTATTGCATGATTTGTATAGCACGGGTGAGAAAAATACAATGGAAAAATACATGAATTGTATAGCACGGGTGAGAAAAATACGATGGAACGGTAGAAAAATAGCCGCATGAGCTGTATGTGACCATTGACATGAAGAACTAGCCGTTAGTTACTCAAAATTCAAATTCTCGCTGTCACTTTCACGCTGGATCGCAGAAACACACTGCTTTATATAACTTTCCATTTCCGGTTTCTCTTCTTCTTCTCTCTCTTGCCCTCTCTCATAGTTTGCCCATTGACAGGCGGTGTTGTCTCAGGTAAGATCCAGATAATCCGATGTATTTTGTTAATTCTGCCCTCACCATATCTGGCGAGTTATCAATTTTAATCTCGGTGAACTTTCTGTATAGGATCTCCGAATTGTTAGCTGCTGCGAAGGTGTGTTGCTTCAAAATTAGGGCTAAATCACTTCGAATCCCCTGCTCTGTTGCTACTTTCTCTGGAAAGCGATATGTCCTGCAGAGAAATTGTTGCTAAGGAAAGTTCTTAGATAACAGAACCAGATCAAAGTTTTGTGGATACAAGCTTTAGTAAGAATATGACCGCGAAAACTCCTGGTACACCAGCTTCGAAGCTAGAAAGGACACCAGCTAGCACTCCTTCTGGACAAAGAGAAAGAGAGGAAAAAATCGTAGTTACAGTGCGTTTAAGACCATTAAACAAAAGGGAGCAATCAGCCAAGGATCATGTGGCATGGGAGTGCATTGATGATCATACAGTTGTATATAAGCAAACATCCCAGGAACGGCCTCCACAACCTAGCTCATTTACATTTGGTAATTAAAATACTTTTTATGATTAGGCGGTTTACTTTTATTCATGATTCTAATCCAATCGTAGTACTTATAAGTTGCTCCATCCAGCTTAAAATAATTTCCATTTTAACCAAAACAAATAATTGTCATTTTAGGAATCTGATGCATATTTTTTTACTAACCTTTCAAATCTACAAATACTAACTCTTACTAAATTAAATGCTTAAACCTTGGAAAGAATTCAATATGTTCGATATTGAACTTCAACAAGGGTAAAATAATCAATTTATTAGGCTCCTTACTATGTGTTCTGTGTTCACTTTTACCAAAACCTCAATTTTTTAACGGATGAAATATAAGCTTTAATTTCTTGAGAAATGCATTGATAATGATTGAGTGTTGCTCCTTTTCCAGATAAAGTATTTGGTCCTGATAGCTTAACTGAAACAGTATATGAGGAAGGTGTAAAGAATGTGGCTTTATCTGCTTTGATGGGAATCAATGGTAACATTTTAACTACTGTAATGCGTTGGAATTTGCTTTTCGTGAATGTATAATAGGTTTCAAATATTTCGATTTGACTTGATCAATTTTTTCTTGCACTTGCAGCAACAATTTTTGCTTATGGGCAAACCAGTAGTGGGAAGACATACACTATGAGAGGAATTACAGCAAAAGCTGTTAATGACATCTATGCTCATATCGCAAATGTAAGACTTTCCAGAAGTTGGTTTTTTCTAGTATACTGTAAAATTACTTCACATGTGCGCTTGCTTTTTAGGTAGCATTGTTTTTTATTTTTATATTTGGAATTATGATAATTTCTTTTTAATATGATTATTGTAGACTCCAGGAAGAGAGTTTAGAGTAAAGATATCTGGACTGGAAATCTACAATGAAAATGTAAGGGACCTATTGAATTCAGAATCTGGCCGTAATCTCAAGCTTCTAGATGATCCTGAGGTAAAACTGTAGACAATAAGCCAAAGAACTTGACATTTTCCTGTCCAGATCCTTTTTTCTATGGGCTTATCAACTGTATCTAAATGTAGAAAGGAACTATGGTTGAAAAGTTGGTTGAAGAAACAGCAGCTAATGATCAACATCTCAGACAGTTAATTAGTGTTTGTGATGGTAAGTAGTTAAAAGATGCTAATTTTCTTTTCTGCGATGAGTTAGCAATTGAATTGAAGCCTTCTTAAATAGTGACAATTCTTTTCTTGCAGCTCAGAGACAAGTTGGTGAAACTTCCCTTAATGAGACAAGCTCAAGATCTCACCAGATCATAAGACTGGCAAGTGCTCCCTCATCCTCTACCTCCACCAACAGATTGGCAGATTGTTTTCAGTTTATAGCAAATTTATTCACCAAATATACACTATTGCTCATTTTGTTTTCACTTTTTATTGGGTTCAATGTGGTCATCGACTAATGCAGCTTGGCCTCAATTTAATCTTCATACCTGGTTGGCTCTAAAGTTGGAAACAACTTTTGTGCCCACATTATTAGACCCAAATGCCCTCTTAAACTAGAGTGAAATGTGCATAAGGATGAAACTGAGTATAAGTTCCATATATGGAAAACATATTGGATCCAAAAGTAAATTCCATGATCAAAATGTGAGTAATAGGGAGTACTGGAGGAACCATATTAGATACTCACTCTAGTCTTACATATCCCCGGTTGCACTACTGGTATGAATAGGCAAACGTTGTAACTGATAATCAATATTTTGTGGGGAAATTTGCAGACAATAGAAAGTATCCTTCGTGAAAGTTCAGGATGTGTGAGGTCTTACGTTGCAAGTTTGGTAAGAAAAATTCATTATAAATTCATTTCAAGTAAAAATGCTTGAATAAGGAAGGATTGTTCATTCACGTTTCACTTTCTATAATTATAGAACTTTGTAGATTTAGCTGGAAGTGAAAGGGCATCACAGACAAATGCTGATGGTGCTAGACTCCGGGAAGGCTGCCATATTAACTTGAGTTTGATGACTCTTACAACTGTTATCAGAAAGCTCAGGTAACTAATGACCTTAAAACCTATGTATTCCCAAACTTAAGAAATTATTTTAGATAAGAGTAAAAACAATATGGAATTTCAAAATAAAAACACTGTGTTTTTATTTCTTAACTAGAAGCAATCATTGTCACGCTTGAAAAATATGGCCAAAAAAAACATAATACCCTGGAGAAAAAACATGATACTCCTGCTTCCGAGTGATGGACAATTAAGTACTTAATAGTATACGAAGATTCTGAAAACTAAAAGCAAAACTTTACTTTATGAGTGTGTAAATACATACTAACCCGCACGGGTAGCTCAACTGGTAAAACTGTAAGAAAGTTGGAAAATGACCTCAGATCGAAATCCTGGAGCCTCCCTATGGATGTCATGGTCAGGATTAGTTGAGTCTGATTTACATTTCTCATATACTCTAGGAGCCCTTAAGGTCTGGGATTCAACATTTTGGAGAATGTAAATAAATCTGTAAGTCAAACTATATTCTACTACAGTAGTACTACTAATTGAACTTTTTGCTGTAATTATTCTGATTTGATCGGCAGCGTGGGAAAACGAACTGGTCATATACCCTACAGAGACTCGAAGCTGACGCGCATATTGCAGCACTCCCTAGGCGGAAATGCCCGTACTGCCATCGTTTGCACTTTGAGTCCCGCTTCTTGTCATGTGGAGCAATCGCGTAATACTCTCTTCTTTGCTACCCGCGCAAAGGAAGTGACGAACAATGCTCAAGTGAACTTGGTATTTTTACGAACTGTATTTGCTGATTGCGTGTATTTGCTACGGAAGATTCATGTTCTTAAGACGTTCTTTTTTTATTTATCATCAGGTTGTTTCAGACAAACAGCTCGTTAAGCATTTGCAGAAGGAGGTTGCCCGACTTGAAGCGCAACTGGGAACACCTGATATTTCAAATGACAAAGATTTTAAGATTCAGCAGGTTCTTCATATAAGTGAAACATGGATTCTGATTTTGTTATGAACAATTCTAAACTAATCTTTTCATTGGCTCATTTTTGCGAGTAGATGGAGCTGGAAATTGAAGAGCTGAGGCGCCAAAGAGATCTTGCTCAGTCTCAAGTGGATGAGTTACGCAGGAAGCTCGAGGAAGAACAGGTTATCCCTCCCCCCTCTCTCTACAGCATACGAAAACATAACCCAGAAGAGTAGCACCATTCCCATATTCTGCTCATCCCTGAGTGGTACCTTGTGTATGAGTTCAGTGGCGGAACCAGGACCTGTGACTCGCAGGGGCACAATAACAAAGAAATCACTGGTCAGTCTCCATCGGCCGTCGCAGAGATGCTCACAGTTGCCGTCGGCCGTCGTTGAGGTGCTCACAGTCCGTTGGCCTTCGCTGAGTTGCTAGAGTTGATGGCTTGTTGCAGACTGATGTGAGTTTGAAACGCCGATTCCGCCGAACTGCCGAAGCGATATGGGAGCTAAGGGGAAAGGGAAGTTGGGCTTGAGTTGAGCTGTTGAGCCTTAATGGATAGGGTTGCTGGGGAAGAGGGAAGTGGGATTGAACCGGACAAACAAGGGAAAGGGGGAATTGGGATTGGGCTGCAGGGGCTCAAATTAATAAAAATTAAAATATGTATATATATTTAAAAGAAAAATAATTCACTGCAGGGGCACGGGCACCTCCGGGCTCTATGGTGGTTCCGCCCCTGTATGAGTTACCAATCCTCATTTTACTTACTTATTTCTCAGTCCCTTGTGTATGAGTTACCAACCCGTTCCCTCATCAAACGTCCATGCGATAAAATGGCTTAATTTCCTGAAGTGTTGAATAAATTAGTTGATATGGCTTAACTCAGCAATAAGGTACTGTTGAAATGCCATTTCTGTCCCTTGCTATTGGTTTTCATTATCGACTTTCAATCCAGACCATACATTGAAATCTGGCTACTAAGGTTGATAAAGTCATTAGAGGGTTCACCAAAAGGCCCACTTAATCGGTTTTTTTTGCTTGACATTGAATTTCAAATTTAGGGACTAAAATCACCACAACAGGAGTCATTTACTAGTCCAGTTGCAAGGACTCTCTCCTTCTCTACCACATCACCTAACCTTAAAGTAAAGGAATCAGTTCGTAGTGAAAGAGCAAGAAACACAATGGGAAGACGATCAATGATGAGGCAATCTCTAGCTGTTCCTTTCACGCTCATGCATGAAATTAAGAAACTTGAACACCTTCAGGAGCAACTCGGAAAAGAAGCAAACCGGGCACTCGAAGTGTTGCAGAAGGAAGTAACTTGTTATAGACAAGGTAACCAAGATGCTGCTGAGACTATAGCTAAGCTGCAATCAGAGATCAGGGGAATGTGTGCCGAAGAACAGCCTGCTCATAAAGATGTTGAAGTTGGAAATTTTGGTTCTGTCAATAAGAGTGTCAGTGCAAACCTCAAAGAAGAAATTGCAAAACTCCACTCTCAAGGTAGCACAATAGCCAATCTTGAAGAGCAACTGGAAATTGTTCAGAAGTCCATAGACAAATTAATAATGTCTCTCCCTGATTCAAATGATGATTCATCCGTGAAATCTAAAAATCTATCCAAGAAGAAGAAATTGCTTCCATTAGCATCTAACAACAGTCTTAATATGCAAAGTTTCATCAAATCTCCATGTTCACCTTTATCATCAACTTGCCAAGTCATGAAGAACTCCGAGACTGAAAACAGACCTCCAGAGTATAGTGATGACGTGTCAGTCGAGAAGGAGACTCCTACGAAAAGTGAAGGAGGGGGTGAGTTGTCATCAAAAGAGAGTACCCCTGTCAATATGAGAAAAATGCAAAAGATGTTCCAAGATGCAGCAGAAGAGAATGTCAGAAGCATAAGATCATATGTAACTGAGCTTAAAGAACGTGTTGCCAAGCTGCAATACCAAAAGCAACTACTTGTTTGCCAGGTGATTTTTTGACTACTTTTTTTCATCTACAGATTTTGTAATTGCTAAGCATCTCCCATAATGTCAACTGATCTAATGAGTCCTTTTCAAATGAATTAGTCCTAATTCAAAAAGGTATCACAGTCTGGTCTGGGGATGGATGATTAAATGATAGGAAAATTGCGCAATAAATAGGAGTAAAAACGTTTATGTATTCTAAAATAGGATTGTCATGTTTTTATTCCCTATCTAGGAGTAATTACCGAGATATTTTGGCAGTACTAGACTTTAAAATCGCAGTATTTTTTCCATGCTTGGCTGTAATTACTCCTATTTAAGGAATAAAAACACGACAATCCTATTTTGGACTTCTCAAACTTTCTTACTCCTATTTCGGGCATGGGCATTTTCCCTCAATGATTTGTGGTTCAGTTTGGAACACGATCTAGACTGTTTGTCCAGCTTTTCAGCTTGGGTTGAGATCTCTAGTGTATATGCGTCTTGGTTGAGGGTTGGCCAACTCTCCAGCTTGTTGTCTACTGTGTATGAGTCTAGTATGTACTTGTTAGAGTTAATATTCACCGATTTAGTCCCTTAATTATACACTATTTACCGAACTTTTGTTCTGATCATTTGTTTGGACCCAATTTAGTCTTGCCTATGCAATTTAGACTTAATCCAGTCCTCATCCATATTTCACTGTGGTGTATTGTCATACATTGGCAGCTAAATTTCATCTAATTTACAAAATAGAGGACCAAATTAAGTCCTAAATCTGATTTAGTGATCACATTTAAGACTATATTGGGTCTAAACGTAATAGTCGAGGACCGAATGAGTATAAAATAGTTGAGCACCAAAATAAGTGGATATTGTTTAGTCGATGAATCAGATCAAGTCAGGTATTAGCTCCAAGTGTGAGGATAAACCCATATCTCATAGGGGCTTTTTAATGATGTGGTAGGGACCAACAGTAACTTCATTTTCATGCATCAGAGTTGATTTTGGTTTTTTGTAATTGATTTACTCAGGTGCTTGAACTCGAAGCAAATGAAGCAGCTGGGTACACATTAGAAAACGATGTTGTTCCTGAGATAGAGGAGGAGTCTCCGGCTTCATGGCACATAATATTTAGGGAGCAACAACAGCACATCATTGACTTATGGGATGTTTGTCATGTCTCCATCATTCATAGGTCACAGTTCTATCTATTATTTAAAGGTGACCCTACGGACCAGATATATATGGAAGTTGAACTTAGGCGCTTGACTTGGTTACAACAACACCTAGCAGAGCTTGGAAATGCAAGTCCAGCTCATGTGGGAAATGAGCCGACGATTTCTTTATCATCAAGGTTTTCTTCTTCTCTGGCTCAACTTATTCCATAGGCTTACCCATTTCATTTCTTATCTATTCTCCTTTGCACTTTTTCCCCTCTCTAGAATTTTCTGGGGTCCAAACATACTCTTACTCTCCAAATACCTGAGCTGTCTCAATTAATGGTTGTTCAAACAATCAAACTTATGCTATTTTTTTTGTATCATATGAAGAGAATATCTGAATTTATATGCAAGAAATTTGAAATGGTTCTATATTCCACTTCAGTTTACATTTTTTTCTTGAGGTAAAGCTAAACATAAGAAAAACCTTATATTAGCATTTCTTCTCTTTGACAAGCATTTCTTGATATCTAAACAGACCTTAGTCTCTAAGATTCCGAACCCTTTTTCAAGCACTATATTCATCTGTTTCTATTGTATAAAAAAATATGTGAATGCATAAAAAAAGATAAACATAAGAAAAACCTTTTTTTAGCATTTCTTCTCTTTGACAAGCATTTCCTGAGATCCAAACAGACCTTAGTCTCTAAAATTCCAAACCCTTTTTCAATCATTATATTCATCTGTTTCTATTGTATAAAAACAACAAATATGTGATTGCATAATAAAAGGTAAAATAGTATTCAAAATTAATTTCCCACCGTAAAGCCACCAGATAAGAAAATAACGTTTTTGTTTCCGTTGCATTTGGTGCTCAGTATTAAGGCACTGAAGAGGGAAAGGGAGTTTCTTGCAAAGAGATTGGCCACTCGTTTGAGCGTAGAGGAAAGAGATGCATTATACATGAAATGGAGGGTTCCTTTAGATGCAAAGCAGAGGAGGATGCAGTTCATAAACAAGCTGTGGACAATTCCACATGACAGGAAACATGTAGAAGAGAGTGCAGAGATAGTTGCAAGGCTTGTAGGCTTCTCTGAGGGTGGGAATCTATCAAGGGAAATGTTTGAGCTCAATTTTGTCCTTCCATCTGACAAGAGGCCGTGGTTTATGGGATGGAATCCAATATCTGAACTTCTTCATTTATAATAAGAAAAAGTACAAGAATTCTTTCTGTAATTAAATTGTGTTTTCATTTCTTGTTCACCCCCTTTCAGTGGCATTCAGAATATTTTTCAGTGTATACTGAATCTGTAGCCAGTTTATAGACTGGAACCAAATAGATATCAATATTCGTTATGACTCGTTACTTTGCATGAAAGTGGGATTTTTTGCTGCACCTCTTGAGTGTGCAGATTTTGGAGAAGTCTTTTGGCAGAAAGAAAGAGCAGAAGTAATTTTGTGTGCTACGTGTGTTAGAGACCTATAGAGAATATAAAAAAAAAATAGAATAAGTGTAATAAGTGTTTGGGGGGGATTATTAGATAAGGACTATGGCTGGGTGGCTGAGGTCTATAAATAGAAGTTAGAAAGATGTAATACGGGGCGGAATTTGAATTGTAAAGTGTAGCCCTAACTGTTGCCTAGGCCGATGGCCATTGTTGCCTTTTCTTGAATAAGAAGTTGCCTTGAGTTCTTGATTTGCTTTGTGTATTGTTAGATTGATCTTGCAGATCTAACATTGGTATCAGAGCGTATCGATCGCTGTGAATGGTCTTGACTAGAACCAAGATGGAAGCCAGGATGAATGAATTGGATGAAAAAATGGAAAGATCGCGACAAGAGACTAGGGATATGTTCGCGGCTCTTCAGGCGTCGATCGCCAGATTGGAAACGCGAGGAGAGAGTCGATCGCGTAGCAGGTCGCACGCATCGCATACTTCACACGCTTCGCATCGATCCTCGCACCGTTCATCGCCTCGTTCGACGCATCATCATCATCACACACGACGATCGTCTGACAGTTCTTCCGAAGGATCGGAAGATCACCTGGAGTTCGATCAACCACACAGACGTCGCCAACATCAACCGATACACAGGAAGGTTGACCTACCTTTATTCAACGGTGAAGATGCTTTCGGTTGGCTTGTCAGAATTGATAGGTATTTCCGACTCAACAAAACACAAGAAGAAGAGAAGATAGAAGTGGCGGTAGTAGCCATGGAAGGCAAAGCTTTAGGATGGATTCAATGGTGGGAGAAACAAGAAAGAGTAAAGACTTGGGAACAATTGAAGAAGGCAATGCTCCGTCGATTTCAGCCAGAATTGATTCAGAATCCTTTGGGTCCTTTACTGAAGTTGAAACATAAGAACTCTGTACAAGAATACCGAGAACAATTTGAAACCGCTATATCCTGTCAAGAAGGACTGGATAGGAAGGTAATGAGGGCGATATTCTTGAATGGACTAAAGAAAGATATCAGGGTTGAGCTTAAATTGTACAAAACCAAAGATCTGGGCAAAATCATGGACATTGCACAGGTGATTGAGGATAAAAATGAGGAAATTTTGCACAGAAGAAATAAAGAAGAAGGGAAAAAGCCTTGGAGAAGCAATGTTGTAAGAGTGAACAGTTACCAAAAAGGGGAAGAAGGGAATAAGAATAGCAGTAATTCAATCTCTTTCTTAATAATTTATGTTTTCATCTTATCAGACTTAACAATAAACTTTTTAATAAACACATAACTTTTGATTTCGCGCGTTAAGATTTGTAACAGTTAAGTTTTACATTTAAAATAAGTAACATTATAGTTTTTTCTTTATTTCATTATTTTTTTAAATTTTCCCCATAATTTAGCTAATTCAACTGGTTCAAATTTCAGCATGCTTTTTTTAATTTACTTTGGTACTTATAAAATAGAGTATTATAAATTGAAATTAATTTATAATTAAATTGGTATTATGTCCAAACATTTAAAGTAGATATTTTAAAACTTTTTCCATAAGTTTCAAATTTTTGAGGATGTGGTGAAAATTTGAAGAACGACTGCATCATGAGCATTAAATTAGTGATAAGGGGTGATTCCATCATCACCTGTGTTGAATATAATAATGTAGATAAACAACCCATCCAATAAACCCAATAATAATATATATAAGGATGGAAGACACATAACCCAAGCATTTGAAAATTTAGACTAGGTCAAACATGACTCTTTATTTGTTAGGCTAATTGCAATGGGGGGAGTGAAAATCCTAAATGTGAGGTTTTCACTCCCAAAACAGCTGCAACCCAGAGTAAATATTGTATACGAAGGTCTCACAGGGGATCTGGGGAACCTAGGGGAGCGACTTCTAGGCGGGCAATCGACTCTGGTCAGGAGGTGACATGCGAAGTGGGGAAAGCAGCTGGGGCCCCATCCATGCGACGCAATTGAGACCTGGGGAGTAAAGGAGTGGTGAGCATTGCTGCGTGGTCGTTCGCGGCTTGGCTTGCGGGTGAAAAAGGCTTCCGTTGATATAAATTGAAAAAACTCAATTGAAAGCAACATAAGTTTTAAATTGGCACGTGGAAACTGCACAACAACATACTTGTATTATATATTGCGGATTGATTGAAGAAACTTAATTTACAAGAAGTATGCTTCAATTCATTTAAATTCAATCCCAACAAGCACATACTCCCTACTATATAAAATTAAAATTAATAATATAAATTTTTAGTTTAAAATTTATTTGAAATTGAACTCAAGTGGGCATTTTTAATACTTGCAAACAAAAAAATACACATTTTTTTATTTTTTTTTACCGGAATGTTTGAGTTTTTAAATAATAATTATTGGTAAAACTAAAATTATCACATAAATGATGTATACTACAATAAGTAAGGATTTATGCATTTAATAAAAAAAAAGATGGTGCTGAGTGGATATATTGACGGTGCTGGGTTGCAGAAAAAAATTGGATTGACGGAGTGAATACATATAAACTGGAGGGGAATTAGATTTATTGACGGGTTGAGTTGCGGTTAACGGGAGTAGTCTTTGTCACATACGAGTACTTGCTAAAAGGTTATACGAAGCATAAATGTCGTACCATCATGCACTTAGAAAAGTTAGAGTTATGGTCCTTGGATGACAAGTCCACAGATGACCATCCAGAAGAAATGGTTGGACTAGAGCATCTACTAGCTCTTCTAGATTATAAGTCACCTTCAATCTTCGAAACAATATTTGTCTCCACAAGAAGACAAATTAAGATCACATAAAACTATAATATAGATTACAGAGCACATTTTTTGGGAGTAAATAGACATAAAAGGGGGGAATGACGTGTGGTATTATCTTTGAATTGAATAATTCACATGTAAATGAGATATAGAAATCGAAATAGAATAATTCACGTGTAAATGAGATATAGTGCCCGTTTGGTGATACCCAAATCGGCTGTATTGACTGGTTCTGCTGAAATTCATGAAGTTCTGGCTGAAGTGACTGTATTGGTTGATTCTGCTGATTTGTGAAAAATAAACATTTAAAATATATTTTCTTCATAAAATAACGAAAAAATTATATGAAAAATAGTTAAAATGGTCCTCTATGATAACTTCAACCAATGGAGCTAGAAAAGTAATTACAACCTTACTTTTTCTTATTATTACACAATTCAGCGCGCGAAATCAAAAGTTGCGTATTCAGCGGAAAAGTTGGCTGACTAATAAGCCAAAAATCATGGTTACCAAACGGGCTCATAGAAATTGAAATCGAAATAGAATAATTCACAGTTACAGAGTACCTCACTTACTATAATGGTAGAAATCGAAAAGGCTAATGACGGAGGTAGAAAAACATATTGGGTATTTGAGGGTCAGAACTTTGTCATATAGAATACTAGAAGGTAATATTTGGAAAATCAATGATGAAAGATGAAATCTAGTAACTTAGACACAAGTTTAAACTTAAATTATTTGTCATGTTTGTGTAAATAAATTTTATTTTAGTAATACTTTAAAAAAAAATCTCATTAATGATTTTATTTATATGTAATAAATATATTACGGAGTACAAATCTTACATAGCCAATGTATGAATAAATGTTACTTTTAAAATCTGTAAATGAAACTAATATTACACATTAAGTTTTCATTTCAAATTTAGATGCCGCTTTGTAATAGAGTATGTGTCGCCTCCTAGGGTTTTTCTAGGGGCGTTTGCCTGACGACGATCGTTTGGTCGTGGTGCGAGTTTGGATTGTGCGTCTGTTAATTGCTGATCTCGGCATAGCAGATCGTTTTTTGTTTCTTTTTTGGGATTGGGGCCATCGACCTAATTGTTTGGGATCTGTCTTGGTTGATTTGAGCAATACATTCGTTGGCTGCTTTGATTGTGCCTGAGGTGTTCGGTCTCGACAATGAGCAGGTTCGTAGACAAATACAAGAAGATGGCGAATGGGGCAGAGGAGGAAGAACTGGATCTAGATGAAGCTGATGTTGAGGTTGTGGCGGATGAGCGGCGGGCGCGTCCCCCTCCTGATTTTTATGTCTGTTTTGTTATTTGTTTTTTCTTTATTGTTCCTATTTGTAAGACGTTGGATTTGGATATGGGAGATGAGAGGAATACAGTAACCGTTTTTGGCTTTGGTGCTCCCATTTATGGATCAACGAATTATATTGCTTCTCTAGAGGTGATTAATTCCGAGTCTGGTTCGCGAGACGACGGTTGTCAGATTTCTTTTTATCGTTTTACCCTTAATATGAATTATGTGTTATCGATATAAGCCGAATTGTTAAAAAAAATAGATGATAATGATTTTGGACGAATCACAACTTTTGACTCTGTTCCTTGATATCATGCGTGCTCCACATATTTTTTGCCAAAATAGTGGATGAGAGTAGGAGTGTAGACAACAATTTTCATTTTAATTTTGCCATTTTTATAACTTTTTCATTTTTTGTTAATTTTTTTAAGATATGTCAATATTTTTAATTTTCTTTACGATGCAACTAAGCATTTCAGCTCAGCTGGTTGTGAGGTTACCGTGTCTAGTGGATGGGAGGTCTCGAGTTCGAAATCCCTAGGCACATAAGGGTTCGAAACTCAATGGAGTGAGTTTATTACTCCAGGCTCCCCCAGACCCCCCTGGAGTTAAAAAAAATTAATAAGAAACAATCATGGATATCAATCATGCATATATAAAATAAAATAAAAATGTCTAAATAAATATTTATGAAACAAAAGAATTTTTTTTTCATATGTTTATATGCAATATGAATACCATTAGAAAGACCATGAGAAGACATTAAATCTGATATATTTTTTGTAAAAAATAGATTATAAATTAAAGAGTTATAGCAATTTTAAGAAAAAATATTGTAATGATAAATGACATCCATTATAGGGAGGAGTGATCTTCAATGGTTGATTTCCATTTTGGGTGTTTTGCATACAAATCTTCCACTCTCGCGCACTGAGGCACCAAGTAATGGAAAGTGCATATGCATGTTTGTAGGCCCCACCTCTTCAAGGGCTAAACTTTTAATAATATTTTTATAAAATATAAATAAATTAATGCATTAATGCATGATTAAATTAATAATGAAATGAACATACCTTTAAAAAAGGATGACACCCCATCAAGGCCCCACCATTGACCAAACAGTTAAATAAGAAATTGTAAATTGAATTTTAATCACAAACTAGCAGATGGTGGGTGAGGTTACGGTCTAAATACTTGCAAACGTCTCATGAATTTTTACATAGTAACCTCTCATCGTAGTTATTAGGACTAGAACCTGAGACTCACCCCCTGTAGCACTTCCTGTCTACCTATCGAAATTCACTTTATTTGGAGTGCAAACAAAAAAGATAACACTTTCTATTCGGAAAAATAACAAAAACAAGACCTGTTCTTTTTTATTAGATAAAAATGGGACAATTTTTCTGTTTAAGACAAAAAATGTGACTAAAATATCGAGTTTTTTCCACTTTTAGTCCTCTGACTATTATGTCATTGACATTTTTGGTACTCGACTTTAATTTTTTTAATTTTTATTCCTTGACTATTGCGCTAGAGACACTTTTGGTACCCGTCTTTGAAAATTTCCATATTTAGTCCTTCAACTTTCATAAAAGTGACACTTTTGATCCTTCAACTATTATAATAGTGACTTTTTTAGTCCTCGACGTACTTATTGTGTCAAAATCATAATGGGAGGGCTAAGAGTGTCAATTTGACAATGCTCGATGACTAAATGTGGAAAACCTTGAAGTCGGAGACCAAAAGTGTCTCTAACACAATAGTCAAGGACTAAAAATGGAACAATTAGAACTCGAGTACCAAAATTGTTATTGACATAATAGTTGAGGGACAGCCATGGAACTCTACCAAGATGACAATGAATCTTTGGAATATAATTATGGAGCCCTATGAAGACAACGGCCGGAGCAGTGCTACCATTGCAACTTCTCTGCGGGCATACATCGGATTTGTCGTGATTGTCAATTTGTCATTCCTAGATGAAAATCCTCTGATTTCATATTTAAACGCTCTTTTGAATTATTCTGTATTTTAGCATTTAGAGCCTATATTCATCATCACTCATTTTCAACATATTGATTTTATGATCCAATTTCTTGCCAATCACGCAAGATTTAAATATGAGGGCCAAATTATGCAATAATAGAAAAAATAAGGTTGAAATTAGTTTTCTCATTAAATTTGATGAAAAACTCTTAGCCATTTTTTTATATTTTTCTTTATTTCGTTAACAAAGTATATTTTAGGCCCTTTTCCATTAATATTACTAAATTAAAGGTTCAAAAGACAAAAGTATTACTTGTTTTAAAATTTTCCAAAAAGTGACAAATTTAGTTATTAGTTTCCAGTGAATCATCATTTATTAGTGACTTGTCACTATGAAATACACTATATATAATGAATCTTGTTGGTTACTCGCACACAGTGATCAGTCATATTGTTTTTCCAAAAACCATAATTAGTCATATTTTTGTTTGGGAAAACTCTATTAGTAACATACATGTCATTTTTTATATATATAATTAGTTTATAATTTAGCATATTCAATCAATTCAACGAGTTCAATCACAATTTATCAATTACAACACTTCAATAAGTTTTGGTGTTACCAAAACTTAAGAAACCGGACCGGGAAGCGACCCGGCCTCGTGACCGGGTCACAGGACAAACCGGATCCGGTCGGGTCAACTTGGTCAACACTATAAAACCGGTCAACCATTTAACAATAACAAACATATAATTGTATACAAAATTAAAATAAAAGGTAGTTAATTAATAATAATCAACTAATAATAATAAGTACTAAACACTTAAAAGTTAAAATAGTCTCATAATATTTTGAAAATTCCATTTTGATCTTATGAAAATATATATACTGATACTCTATATGTGTTATTTTTATTGGACAACTATTTTATAAATTGACATGATTTTTATTCTTAAACAGATAAGTAGCATATAAATATATTGCATTTTTTCTGTTTAGGGTATTAAAAATTGAAATTTTATTGGTAAAAATGCCTAATCCTTTTTTTAAAAATTGGAAAAACAATCAAAGCCGGGGTTTTTCGGGTTTTTCAGATCCGGATTTTGCTGGGTCGGCCTGGTTTTTCTGGTTTTTGACCATTTTCGGGTTTTTTATTTAACTGAACTGTATTTTGATCTAGGTCACCGGGATCCGGGTCAGTTCGGTTCTTTAAACATAGACCAAACGGACTAATAATAATCTAATTGTTGTCTTTCTAGTTCTATTCTTTCCATTTTGGCACTTTTAATATTTGTCCTCAATATAACAGGGTATGTTGGCGAGTTCGAAGGGAATGGGAGGAGATGATTTTCAAGGTTAGTCATTGGAAAGGAGGGGAGGGAAAGATTGGAAATCCTTATTCTTGTTTGGGAGTAACAAGTGTAAAAAGATAGGGATCTTGAATGAATTATAATTAAATCACTTCACGTATATGACGGATTTAAATAGTTGAATTTATAGTTATTTAAAATTATATGACGAATTTAAATAGTTGAATTATAATTAAATTACGACCCCCTCCTCTCCTCTAAATGTGTTTAGCGGGAATCGAACCCCAGACCTTAACTAGACACGATAACCTTGCCTCCCGTGTCTAGTGGACTGGAAAGCTCGGTTATTAGGGTGCTTTTTAGAAGTGTTATGAAAAAAGTTTTACATGAATTGAGAATTTCTCGATAATAGGTACCAAAATTACATGATTTTACGATCACTTAAAAAATCTGAGCTTAGGCTGTTCAGTCATCTGCTTTGTTTTGTGTGGCTGCCACTCCTCCACGCACAGGGGAAGCTGGAAAGAGAAAAGCGGCCGGAGAAAGAATGGCCACCGTCGCCGGGAGAAGTTTTTACCTCCCCACAACGCCAAAACCACCTAACAGAGACTTGTCAGCAACATTACCCCCGAGTAAAATACTGTACCAGTACCACCGCACAAAGCTATTGCCTTTGTCCATGAGTTATTCCAGAAATCCTAAGCAAGACGATGAAACGCTAAAGGAAAATGGGTCTTCTGCTCATCCTGATGACGATGGCGTCTCCATCGGTTCCTCAACTGTTCAAGATTCTGGCTCATTTCTTTCTAAAGGGTATTGATTTGTTTTTTAATTACAGCTCCGTATTTCTCTATGCCTGATTTATTAAAGTTTATTGTTTTTGCTAGAATTCTCATTTGTTTAAAATTGAAGTTTGGATTTACAAAGGTTTCATTTTGACATTGACCTATAGCATTTTGATTAAGTTCTACTCCTTGTTAAGAGGAGAATTTTGACATATTAAGACTTTGAAGTTTTATTATCAAACTTATGAGGAGTTTTATTTGCTTAACCTGGTCAACCTTACAGAATGTGTCTGAACATGGTTAATTCTCAGTAGAACGGATCATATTAACATTCTAAAAAGCCCAACCATATGAAACCGGCATATATGAGACAGTGCTCCTTATCCTATATTGAGCTAGACAACTTGAGGAAATTAATGGACCAAACAGACTTTAAACGAATTGCCCTAAATCATATAGGTTCTGAATCTCTGATACCATAGTCTATATAAGACCCGATGTTCCAAGAGTTTCCCAATTCTTAATAATATTCTTTTGACATATGCTTTGTGCGAATTGGGGCGTGATGGCAGAGGGGGTGGTTGCAAGGGGTGTGGTAGAGAAGTGGCAGAGAGAGGTTGCAATGAGGAGGGAAGGATTCAAGGAGGGATAGCAGCAGTGCCCGGGTTTGGTTGGTGGCCAATAAAGGCATTCCGCCCTTGCCCTTCATTTTTGGCCTCCGGTGGAAAGTATAGGCGAGTTGGACAAAGCATGGATGAAGTGGTCTCTGGAAGAGCAGTAACAAGAAAGTAGCTAAAGGTACAGCTTAAGTAAAATCTTTTTTCCCTGAAACTATACACAATTTTATCCCCTGGAAAAAACTAAGAAAACACAGGCACACACTCTCTTCTTGGCTCAATAGGAACATTCTTTTAAATTGACAATGTTATTATCTTTCTGAACTTCAGATGGTTGGTTGTGGAACCGCGATGTCATCCAGTACTACTCACTCAGTCTATGAACTCAACTCGAATTGTGGAAACTGGAAAGTATGACTGTTGTATGAAATGTTTGAAGTGAAGATGTGAGAATGTTATGCAATGATGCAGCATGAATTAGCAAAAAGGAAACCAGTAATCATCTTTCAAATTAGAGAAATGCTAGAGGTACCCCATTTTCTACCCCATTTTGTACCTCATCCTATGTTTGTGGCTCACAAAAATCCAACCCAATTAAAATAATTGCTCCATTTTTACTCATTGCTTTTGTGAACCACAAACATAGGAGGGGGTACAAAATGGGGTACAAAATGGGGTAGCTTTAGCATTAGTGTTCAAATTATTATCTGTATTTGTAGTTTTGTACCTTGTATCTTACTTAAGCTTATACGATAGTATTTTCTTAGCAATGTAATCAGTACGGGTAATGTGTAGTTTGACCTGACAGCTTTCGATTTTGGCCTGATTTGTTATTGTAGTCCAGCCAAATTTTTTTTTATGGTCGAGTGTGCTCAATGCGACTGCATTGGCTTTCGTTGTGGATGGTTTGGGTGAAACCAAACCTTCCGGCAGCCACTCATCCCATGGTCAGATGTGGCATCGAGTGGTGCACCGCTACATTAGTGAAAACCAGGAAATAGACTACTGACGGTGCGACCGTAGCCCGTAGGTGGGAGCACACATTGGTCAACACTTTGTTTTTGTTTTGTCCTGACTCCTGAGGGCCATGAAGCATTAAGCATAAGGTTCTGGTGCTCACAATGTCTGTGCTTGCTAGATCCATCCTGGAGCATGATTCTTGTGCTCTTGTGACTTGTGAGATCTCTCCCCCAGGGCCAATGTTTAGTCCTCATCCCAAATGCATTGGTTCAGACTTCAAAGGTCTCTCCAATGCCATATTTGGTAGCTTACAACGGCAAGTCTTGTACTCTTGACTCTTGTAATAATGATCAATCAGAAGTTCAGAACTAAGAACTACCGAACTGCCAATCGGCCATCTTCGATGAAACAGAGGATTGGAGGAGTCTAAGGTAAAAAATGCATTGTGCCATACAGTTTCTTCTTAACAAGAAAGGGAGTGTGCCAATCACTTCACTGGGAAGTCATATGGAGAATGTGAAACAGACCGAGAATCAGAAGTACTGGGAAAAGTCAAGAACAAAGAGTGGCAAAAGAAAGAAGGCAGACACTATTAATAATTTAATATCATACGGAGTATTTATTATTATAGCCTTGGTACACCAACCACAGCAATCACAGTTATTATTACCGGGATTGTACCTATTCTTTCAGTACAAAAACTTCACAATACACATATATAGTAAGTATATCTGTCTCATATGTACAAAAACATTCTGATTTGCTTTCGCACAAGCCATGCAGATTACACCGGATCCTTTGTTTTTTTTCCTATTCCCTAAATACATATATATAATTGTTGCTCTTTTCTTCTCTTTAGTATTACAAGCCATCGCAGCTTATTCTTTTCTTATTACTCGCATAAAGCCCTCTGATAAGTTATGCTATGCTCATGGGTCACCACCCTCTGCAAAAGTGTCCAACAGGGAGAGGGTCTGCAACAACAACAAAACTTATTAGGTTTTTTTTTTAAACGTGGATCGGAAGATTGTTATTCAAGAAGCTTCTGCTTAAAGAACAGAGAATTATCATCACCTCAGGAATGTTCAGCTCGAGGCGGAATTTAGGTCCATCGTAATGGTGAAGAATTGGCCTGAAAGCATCCTCTTCAAGTGGCTCACATACTTTCCTCGTCAGCACACGCACCTGAATCATCCAGCAGATCAGTCACAAATCTTTTTTCGAGCGGGGATCCCACCTAACCAAACTCATGCCTCAGCTAAGCAATTAGCTCTTGTTTGGTTGGGGAATTAAGGTGTGAGGGAGGGAGGGGTGAAATTTGTTTTTATTGATCTCCTCTTATGTTTATGCTTGTTCATTTTTTTTTATAAAACTAGCAAGCCCTTAATTATACGGACGCAAGAGGATCTTCTTGATTATCTATGTTTTTTCTCCTAATTCTACTTACCTCCTGCCAGAACCAATTAATCCTATCTAAACATTATTAGTAAATGCTCCTTAATGTCTGTGTTAGGACTGCCTAATCCCCAAGCACCAAACTGCCCCAATGAACCTTTGCCTAGGCTCCCAAAGTTAGGACCTTATGATACCAACCTGAGCAGGGAAGCGAGATTCGCCTTGGTTCTTCTTGTCCTCCCAAGCGGTAGGATCAATGTTTGTTCCGCCAAAGCTTGCAGCCTGAAGAAACAACCCAATCAACATTTATCATCTTTATCATAACTATAAAAATTTATACGAAATTAAGACAGATCAAGTGTAGTGGTTTGATTGAGATATGAACCTCGAAAACTCCATGAAGCTGGTGGGTTGAATAGTTGTACAGGAAAAGAGGCAACCCTGGTGTGATTTGCCTCACCGAATCTCTATAACGAGGTGGCAACCCTGAATTCAACAAAATCAAGTACACAAGGATAAATATAAGATTGATTGATAAGTAGGATATTCTGTTTTTTAATGATCATTCATCATATTTATTCCACATCAAAATAATACGGAGTATTCCTTTTCACAAATATCCACCAAATCATACCAAAACTTGAAACATCAATAGATTATGACCATATAACTAATTTGAATCGGCATCTTAAGTTCTAAATGCACAAGCATCCTGCTTTTATTTTGCTACTCTTTATACCATAATAAAAATAACAGTAGTAATAATAATAAAGTGATATTTATATTGACAAAGAAACAATCTCAGCTTGTAGATTCTTCGGACCAAGTCTAACAAATATATAAACATGATCCTAATTCTCAGTTCATTTATTTTAGCTATTCAGCCTTTAAAAATATTATAAGTAACCTAAAATATTATTAAAATAAAATAGAAAATCAATAGAAATCCGCAATAATTGAATAGAAAGGGGAAAAAGGAGCTTATACAGGAAAATTTTTGGTAGAATATTAAGTGGAAAGATCAAGACTACTCACCAAAGAGCTCCCTTTTGAGATTTTCTTGCATAGTATCATTGTTGCAAACAAAGATGTACCCTCCAACAGTTTCATTTCTAGGCAGAGCTTCTGAGGGTGGCAAAGTCTTGAATCTCTTATCAGCTCCATTTTTTTCTCCATTATTGGCTTCCTTGTTATTCCCTTCTTTGTTAACATTTTTATTCTTCTTCCCAGTTTTCAAATGGTCATCATCAGATCCCATCTTCCCAGGCTTCTTCATCATGTTAAACCCTTTGTTGTTGTGCACCGCCACGTTATTAGTCCCTTTATAGTATGGATTATAGGTCATCGCCTGCGCCGGGTAAATCCCTTTGTTAAAACCGCCGTTCAAACCCACTCCAAACGCCCCCTTCTGCGACGGCCCAGACCCAGATCCGGAAAGTGAACCTATCTCGTCGGACAGCTTCCACCCATCATTGCTGAAGAGGTTGTAATTAGATTTGAAACTGTTCGCCGGCGGGTTGTTGGTGGCGGCGGCGGGGGCGTTGTTGAGTGAATTGACCTCAAAGTTCCGCCTCTCCTCCGGCCGCTTGGTACCGTAACTGGTGCTCCAGATGGAGTCGTTGAGGGAGAGATTGGCCAAGTTGTTCGCCTGCAGACGGAGCTGATCGCTGAACTGCCAGAAAGACGACTGAGTGTTCTCCATCTTGTCTTTGCTCGCCGGAAAACCAAGAAACGCGTAAAGATTGAATTTTTTTATATATACAAGCAGAGACCCAGATCTAGAAATGAAGATAGTAAAGGAGGGGAGGGTGGTTGGGATATATAATTGAACAGAGTAAGATAGTGAATGGATAGAAGTTTCGAGGAAGGTGGGGGAGATAACGTGTTAAATTGTCAAAGTAGAAGTTTAGGGGTGTTGAGAGTGGAAAAGATGCACAGTAAACTGCAGAGAGAGAGAGTTTGCAATGAATTTAGCAAACGGTGACTTTTAACGCGGTGTGTGTGGGAAGTGGACGCAGACTACGCCCATTCCGGGCCTGTTTGGTAACAAGTGGAAATAAAAGTCCGAAATGAGTGAATTTGTTGAAATGAAAGTGTTTGTTAATATTCTGGCTGAAAAGACAGATAAAATGTAGAATTATCAAGAACATTTACCAATAAGGGCATTTAGCTGAAAGGAAACATGCTAATTTCACTGGGTTTGGTGGGAAAAAAATCTAGTTACATTACTGAAATCTTATCAACCATTCAACTACCTGACTTTACAGCTCATTACAAAATATAATTATCTAATATACTAGAAATGCCCAAAAGAACTCTTACAAATAAAGTTAGCCTTTTAAAGTGTAGAAAAGGAAATCTATAGTGTGCTCCTTGAGTATGGTCAAGTAAGACAAAAGTACTCTTACACATTTTTCTTGTTATGTAACAAGATATTGAAACAGAGTACCCTCATGAGGCTTTAAATCTATCAAGAAGGTGAGATTGAGGTCATACCAAACAAGTCCAAAATTCATCATACTTGGTCTTAGAAGAATTGAAGAAGAAAAGAGATGGAGCGCAACACAACTTACCTTTAAATGAATGATAGGTTACACAGCCTAGCAGATGAATACGTCGTCAAATTGGAGGAATTGGATCAACGAAGGAGTTCAGTATAACAGATGGGTAAAGGTGTCTTTTAGGTTTCCAACGGTCATTTAATAAGATTCAACTGAAAAAGTAGCCATGTTGTTGTTTTTATGGCTGATCATAAATATCAGCCAAAACAGCCCATGTAACCTGCATTTGAGATTTTTTTTACACTTTCAGGCTTATAAGCCCAATTTTGAGGCTCCAAACGGCCTCCTCTCCATTTTTAATCTTTTTGACTCTCTATTATCCAAGGGAATTAATCTTATTTTTGGCAAAAGTTAAATTTTTTCTAATTAGAGTGAATGAGGAATGATCTTGTCTAGTCACAGGGATAGGATCCTCCGTCTGGCCGTCATTGTTTTGTGGAATTTTTTGATAAAATATTTTTGTAATGTTCTTCATCAAATCTAGTTTATCCACAAAAAATTTCAGCTGAAAATTCAATTGAGAAAACAGTCAAATAGTTTTTGGAAGATAATTGCGCAAAAACAAAACTACAATACTATAAATTTCTTAAATATGACTAAATACATGTGTTTTGACAAATACGTAGTATACTGCAATACTTTTTTGGAGTGCAAAACTCTAGCCACTACCACCGCCGCCAGCCTCCGGCTATCACCGCCGTTGATCTCCGGTGTTAGGCTACTAAATTTTATGTTCAACTTGTGGAGGATTAACCTATTTTATGAGCATTTGTTTAAATCATTAGATAGAACTGTAAGCTCAACTTGTGCAGGATTAACCTATTTTAGGCTACTAATTTGCTTCTGTAATGTAAGATGAGGGTATATGTCACATTTCTTCAAACTCTTGAAGGTTCAATCTTTTATTAATTTAGTTTTAAAATGCTTTGATTCACGTGTCTTAATTGGTTTAGTTTGTACTCCACTATTTGTAATACAGTATTTGATAAGGATTTGAATTGACACTATAACTAAACATGGTTATTGTTTTGTAAAATAATTGCGCTTGCAAAACTGAACTCGTGAAAGATGGGGGCTTTTGTTTCATTCTTTAATTTGTTGGTAGGATGGGTATGAAGAAATGGCGGTAACATGTGGTTGATTCAATAGAAGGTAGGAAAATGAAATTAAAAACTCAGATGTTTAACCTTGTGGCAGTTGTGGGTAACACAAACCATGAGAGCGGACTTTTGCCTTGAATAGGATATGTATTGTCGTGACTGGTGCAGCCCTTGGTTAAAAGCATCCACTGTGGGAGGTCATTGGGAATCAAAAAATATATTCATCACACTTGATCCCGAGCACTATAGGAGATCATGAAGTGATCAATCACAATCTAAGGTTACCAATTGGAGTTGATAGCTTATTTGTGACCAACTAATTAGAGAAAGCCAAGTATCATTTTACTTTGAACCAACCTCATCAACTACCTCCAACTCCCTAATTTTATTTATTATGGATTAAATTTAATTTATAATAATACTAATTTAATATCAAAAAAATAGATTTTGTTTTCTCTATACATAGACACCAATGAAGGATATGTTTAGTTACTTCAAATTTTATCATGTTTTTCCTTCTTGCATCTTATTTTATCTGTTTTAGAACATTTTTCCCTCAAAATTAAGGATATGTAACAATTTTTAAAAATATGCTTATTTTTATTTTTTGACAATAAATAATTGCAGTGGGTCAAATGTGGATTTTATACGGAGTATTCCTTTTTCGAATTAAATAACTTAATAATGGTGGAATATAAAAAAAATAAGGAGAGAGTGTAAAAAATTTAAGTGACCTAGATCACCATGGTGGGGAGAAAATGGGATAGGTCGGAGAGGATTTAAGTTTTTAGAGGGAAATGATGTGGAAGAGAAAGATTGGGATCAAATGTCATTAGCATTGTGGGTGCTCTAAGCGGCAAAGGGGATCAGTGACTATTGCCCCAATGGAGATATTTCACAGAGGTGGCCAATGGAGAATGTTCAACGGTAATCTAGAGAGGACGGCAGAGAGAAGCCCAAAGAGGAAGAGGGCCCGCTGACAATCTGGTCCAGAAGTACGTTGGCCTGGATATTGCTGATACACCGACGAACTGTTGCTTGATGATGATGAAGACGAGGAGGCAGCGAGGGAGGGCAACCATGTGAAAGAATTTTCGGTGGTTGGGGTGCTTCTCACGAACAAGGTGGTTCGTTTCCAAATTTTTAAGGATCTAATGGCGGCTTTGTGGCGACCTGAAAAGGGGGTATTGATAAGGAAATTGGTGAAAACGTGTACCTTTTCAAAAAAAATCACTATGTTGATATGAATCGTGTTCTAGATAATGACCCATGGCTATTTGATCAGAATTTATTAGTGTTGAGGGCAATTAAACCAGGGATATCTCGATTAAGGTTCTGTTGGATTCAGCTGATTTCTGGGTGCAATTGCACAATGTGCCTTATAGATATGCTAAATTTGGTACTGCTATGAGAATTGGGAACTATCTAGAAAAACATTGTTGGTTGGGATGACAATAAGTTTGGTGAAAAGTGGGAGGCCCGCCCACATGAGGGTTAGGGTTGGCTTTGATGTGGGTAAACCCTTGACAATTTATATTACTGTTAGGAAAAGTAAAGGGGAAGGTTATTGGGTTGATTTTAAATATGAGAAACTTTCAAGATTTTGCTTTTTCTTCGGGGTCATAGGACATGTAGAAAACTTTTGCCCATTAATGTACGAGAAAGGAGGTCAGGAGATAGCTAAGTTGTTTGGTATGTGGTTGTGAGCGGGAGGGAGGAAGACACACCCATCTTTGGGGAGCAAGTGGTTGATTATAGAAGGAAGCTCTTCAACAGGAGCCTGCAACAAGGCAAACATAGCTAAGGCGGATTAGGACTTGAGCCTGTATGGAAAAGGAGATGATAGTCAGGGATGATTGGTGGCTACCATGGGAACAAGGGCGACTCAATTGGACGGAGGTCTAAGAGATCAGAAGAGGAGACACACTTGGGTGGAGCAGGAGCAAGGTGATGATGAGGTGGAGGAAATGGCCCTGGATGGACCCAAAAAACGGGGAAGGGGCGGGCCCTGATACCCAAGCCCGCCGGAACTCTTGAAGCTCCAGGTAACCATGATAGTTGAAAGACATTTTAATTTTTCTTATGTTGTTTTTTCCATTCTTCGCTTTTATTTGGATCTCTACTTTGTTTTGGTTGTGTTGTGTTTTTTCAGCAAAAAAACTCTAGAACTTAGGACATGTGATGAGAAGTCAGGATTATCTGTCATTGGCTTAGTTAAGTCCAAAACGGGATTAGCAAATCACAGTGCTTCTATGGAGGTGAGTGATTCTAACTCTTGTTCTAGAGCGGATGTCAGACAGAAGACTTGTTGTCATTTTGTTATTTCTCGTATAATATAAGCCACATTTATTAAAAAAAAAATGCGGGTAATACTGCAAGACCTCCTAGATTCCCCTTAACCATATTTAATTTGTATGAGCGTTCTCTGTTTGACTTTACATCCAACTTTTTTGTTGAGTGATCTGAGTTATTTTCATTGTCTCCTCTAGAAATTGAATCTCAAATTTCAGCTCATATTAAATGTTTGTGATGTAGAAAATTGGTATTTATGCCTCATATTCTCTTTCCTTCCATGATGTCGGGAGATAAAAGTTTTGTTTGTACTCATCTATTTAAATAGAACCCTAAAAAATTGTATACAATATTCTACCTCCGTCCCGGAAACAAGTTCCCGGGTTGACCTTCACACATTTTAAGTAAATAAAGTTACTGAGGGTAAATTTTACTGTTTTGACACTGTTTCGACATTGTTTTGCACGGTTGACACTGTTTTGCATTGTTTGACACTGTTTTGCACTTTTTTATGCAGATAATTTGCCAAATAAGGAAATTGGAAGTTTATTTTGGGACATCCAAATAAAGAAAGTGGGAATACGACCTATGTCCCACCAACATTAAAATATGTAGATGTGGTATAGTTATTAAGAAAAGTTAATCTGTATGGTTAATATTGAAGTGATAAAGTAAAAATAATGTTAGAATCATTCATAAACATACAAATTTTATCAAATTTGATATGAGATAATGTCTGATGGGACAAACCTAAAATGAAAGATGAAACAATCTTAGTGGGACTGAAGAAGTACTAAAAAACAACCTAAAGCTAGAGTAACTATATTAAATACGTGTTTATTAAAAATAATGTTCCTAAAGAATACATATGGAACTATTTTTGTTGAATATATGCTTAAAATTTAATTTACAAAAAATATACTTTTATAGAAATTAAAACTAATTAAACACTTTTGTTTAAAATGATGCCTCTCGTTCTATGGGTGCCCTCGACCTATGCCTCTAGGTTACTTAAAGTTGGCCTTGTTGGTTCATTTAAAACACTGAACTGATATTTATGTTTTTATTCCATTTTTACCATAACCGGATCTCTTTAAGTGAATTATTGTGACATAGACAAACTGTTGAGATAAACGTGTTCTAAACATAATGTAAGAGATGTTTTTTGAAACTATTAGTGAAAAATATAAGTTGCTATGACCAATGCTAATTACATATGGAATAGTACCCTTTTTTTGAAAGGATATGGAATAGTTACTTAAGAGCCGAGATCATATCATATTTTTGTATTTTTTTTAATTTCAGTCATAAATATCTAATTATTTCACACTTTAATTCAATATTTTTTTATAAATTTTTCCATTTTTATTAGAATAATAAGTTTATCTGAAAGCACATTTACATAGTTTAATTGCACCTACGGTCACATGCACTTAATTTAAATATCTTATAAATATCAATATCAATTTACAATCGCATGTCACCTTTGTAAACTTTCATGGCCATTACTAGTGGCTTTTCATCACACCATTGTAAACTTTCAACTACTTCAAACTCCATATGATCATAGTCATTAGACACAGTCACACAAACATAATCTCAGAAATGCTCAACAGGTTTATAACATGGTGGCCTCAATTCTAGTGGATTGGTATATCACACACCCTAATAGTACAGTACCATATAAACACTCAACACTAGCTATTTGGAAAATAGGTAATCATTATATTACCAGCATTAATCACTATAAAAAAATAACATGATTGACACAAATTTGACTTGGATCGGTTGAAAATTTTGTGTCAAATAACTCGTGACGTAAGAGTGTCATTGGCTCGGATTTGGCGTATCTTTGCCAAATCCTCTATCAATTTTGCCAATTCCCTACTTAAAAAACCCCGTCAATCCCGTTATTTTTTATTATAGTGGATTAAAAAGAAAATTAAACAATTATAAGAGAAATTGTTAAGAATTTTATAAAAGTACCATAAACTATAATATAGGTAGGCGTGAGTACAATAATGGTGACTAGTTGTTTGAGGTTAGCTTTAACTGCCTTCACTAACATGAAACTTGTGCCTTGTGCATATATAAAAACTCCCAACCCCGCAACAAACAAAAGCTCCCCACTTCTAGTTCTTTATGGTAAAAACTAAATAGTACGTGGTTCTTAGATTTTGGAGAAAAATGGCTATCAATGCTCCTTCTTGCAGGTTGATATTCAAGATCAAAGATTCAGCTGTGAATGGGGCTTCCCATTTTCAATACGATGAGCTTAAACCGGTTGAAACCAGTCAAATCCCACTTTCTTCCATTAGTTATAAGGCTCAAGGTAATACTGCCTCGTCCCAAAAAACTGTATCATTTTATAAAATTTAGATCATATTTTCATTAGCATAACATTATGGAGTTCATAAATTTTATATATTTATGAAAGAACTTTTAACAAAGAACATTTTCATATAATTTTTATATTATAAATAATTTCCAAAAAAGTATATGATTGATCAAAGTTTTAAAAATAACAATTTTTTGGGAACGGAGGTAGTATGTACTATGTAATTTGTATATAATTAATCATAGGGTTAATTTTTTGTGGCATTTGTTCTTTGGGAAAAGTACAGAAAATGTATTTGTAGTTGGATCCATTTTTAGATAGGGTTATGTGTTTCATTCTTTATCAAAGTGGTTCATGTGTTTGAATTCTGTTATCACAAGAGGGTCACGCCGTTAAAAACGTCTGAAAAAGACCATTAAAAGTAACCCTGATTTTCAAAAGTGCCCGAAAAATAATAAAATAAATACCGGAAGGTGCGCCTCAATAAGACGACCGCTAGGTATCTTTTTTTTTTCAGCCACCCTTGTCACCAGAAAATCCACTGGAAAAGTGATATTAGAGAAATCATTTTTAAAAAATAATTCAAACAGATCTGAAAAATCCTAAGGCGAAGGTAGTTTGGAGGTCATCTTGAGGAGGCATACCTTCCGGTATTTTTTTTAAATTTCCGGGCACTTTTGAAAATCGAAGTTACTTTTAACGATCTTTTTGAGACGTTTTTAACGACGTGACCCTCTGGTAATAACGGAATTCAACCACATGAATCACTTTGGTAAAGAATGAAACACGTGACCCTATCTGAAAACGAATCCAACCACAAGTACCTTTTCCGTACTTTTCCTTTGTTCTTTTCCTCATGCACTTGAATTAAGGGTAAAATCCTTACTTGCTAGTAATCGCAATACAATTTGGTATATGAGCTATTGAAAAATTAAATCAGCGTTTTGAGTACATTTAGTTGCCTCGTCATCTCGGTTGGCAGTACCATTTAAAATCATATGATTTCGCAACATAAATCCATGTAATTTCATTTAAACTTTAACATTATGTTTATACTTGGACTTAACTTTTCTAATCTAGTATGATCTAATCTGAATTGCTCCAGTCTAGTCTGGTAGATGTCTGGTCTATGATGCTATTTGGATATTAGCGGGTGGAGCAACCCGTCGTTTCTTTAACAAGTGAAAACACTGCTATTAGCATCGGATTGGGCACAAACCGCTGAAATCCAAATAACCCCTATATCTATTTTGCAACTGTCGATTTCTGGTAAAGATTTGATTTTTAAGTCTAATATGATCAGTTTTGGTCTTGTTTGAGACTGAAATTAGTTCAAAGTATAACCAAACTTAGACCACACCAATCAAGTGATTAAACAAAAATGTAGCCAGTTTGGTTAGTCATCCATATTCCTTTTCTCAAGAATGTGAATATATAATGAATTGTAGTACTATTGATTAATAATGTACTATTTATTTAATTTGATCCTTCAATGAATGAGATATTAAATTGTATCAATATAGATGCTAATTGCTAAAGAGTAAAGATATTTCATTCAAATAAGTTGCAAGAAACTCTATTAAAACCTAAAAAAATATAGTCATTTTTAGTGCGTGTTTGGCAGACATAAGTCTGTGTCTTCTAGCTTTTATACCGTTTAAAAAGTATTTAAAAACTTCTAGTTATACACTTATACGTTTTGCATACCAATTTTTAAGAACTTTTATAAAAATATAAGATCTATTTTGAGATGATACTGTAACTTCTAGAATTAATTAGTCCCAACAGCTTGTATACCAAACAGAGCTAAATAAAATAGCCAACTTTTTATCAAACAACTATCACTTTTTTCTTTTAACATTTTTTCAATCACTAAAAGGTAACAGTTATCAAAAAACTCACAAACTGAGGATTCAAACTGTTTCAATTCTACTCGGTTCGATTTTGATTAGTTCGATTACAATTTATGGAATACTTTGTTAAGCCCAAGTTCTAATTTCAATTTTTAGGTACAAAGTGGAGAAGAATCAAAGCCATGAGATCTCCAACAGTTTCAGCCCCAAAGCGCGAATCAGACCCAAAGAAAAGGATTGTGATAACCGGAATGGGCCTTGTTTCAGTCTTTGGAAACGATATAGACACCTTCTACAACACCCTCCTCGAGGGACGCAGTGGAATCGGCCCAATAGACAGATTTGACGCTTCAGATTTCTCCGTTCGGTTTGCCGGCCAAATTCACGGCTTCACCTCCGACGGCTACATTGATGCCAAAAACGACCGCCGTCTGGACGACAGCTGGAGATACTGTCTCGTCGCCGGCAAGAGAGCTCTTGACGACGCTAGCCTCGGGAAAAATGTTCTAAAAAATATGGACAAAAGTAGGGTCGGAGTGGTGATAGGTTCGGGAATGGGAGGGTTGGGTGTGTTTGGGAGTGGGGTCCAAGCCTTGGTTGAGACTGGGTACAGGAAAATAAGTCCCTTTTTCATTCCTTATTCCATCACAAATATGGGGTCGGCTTTGTTAGCCATAGAGGAGGGGCTAATGGGGCCCACCTACTCCATTTCCACCGCTTGCGCCACCGCCAACTACTGCTTCTACTCCGCCGCGAATCACATCCGGCAGGGCGAGGCTGATGTCATGGTGACCGGTGGGACCGAAGCCGCCATCACAACAACCTCGGTTGGCGGGTTTATAGCTTGTCGGGCGCTGTCTCAACGAAATGATGAGCCACGAAAGGCGTCTAGGCCGTGGGACAAGGATCGCGACGGGTTTGTCCTAGGTGAAGGATGTGGTGTTTTGGTAATTAAGAACAATCTTAATGCATGCATTTCTTAAACAGTATACTACTTCCGTAATTTAAAGTTTGCTACATTTTTCTTTTGGGATGTATTCTAAAAGTTTGTTACATTTTCTCCTTTTTTGTAAGTTTTTCCTTTAAAACTATTCAATTGACCTTACTTTTTCTACTTTTTATTTCTCTTTCATACTTTTACACCAATTCTCTTACTTTTTCTACATTATTCATTTATTCTATTATTTTTCTCCTTAAATAATCTGCCAAAGCCACATGCAGTAATCGTTAAAATACGGATGGAGTATATATTAGCATGGCTACTACACAAATACTACGTATTACAAACAAATAAGTAAAAACAGAAAACTTTTGAGACATCACAAAGTGAAATGTTACATAAATAGGGGCAAGGTCGGGGAGAATACAGTAATATGTTTCCTTGGTCTAAATTTAAGTTGTAATTTGTAGTATTTATGTTTGACCAACTATAAAATCTTATCATATCATAATAATATGAGAAGATACTCCAATTAAATAGGAGTAAACATATGGAGTAGTATAATAATTTCTCAAATTGGAGTTTCATTGTTTTCTCCTCAAAGCATGACTCATTCACTCTTGTATTGGAAGATGTTTACTATTCTATTATTTTGATAGGACTAAATAAGTCATGTTTTTTAGAAACAAACACATTTAGTCCTCTTTTACAACTTTGTCCATGCTTTACTCATAATTTGCAACACAATTTCGAGACAAGGGAAGTATACTATATCACACATTATCCTTCATAATACTCCTTTTATCTATAACCTTCTTCACATTTCCCTATTTGTTTGATGTCCCAAATGTTTACCCGCATTTTCAATTCTTTTAAGGAAATAATATTAATGTTAGTATTAATTATCTTTTTAACATGGCAATGCAAATTCAGTTTCTTAATAAGTGTATTAAGTTTAAAGTGGGATGAAAATGTTGTAACTTTTAAGATGTCACCCCAATCACCAAGAGGGGCACTCAAGTTGCCAATCTTAATAATTAGCTTATTGGTCTTCAATCAAACCCAAAAGGTAATGGAAAGCTTGGATCATGCCATGAAAAGAGACGCTAATATAATCGCCGAATACTTAGGAGGGGCAATAACTTGTGATGCCCATCACATGACAGAACCGCGATCAGACGGACTTGGTGTTTCTTCTTGCATAACTAAGAGTTTGACAGATGCCGGTGTCTCCCCGGAAGAGGTAATTTTCAAGAGATTTGCTGATTTTAGTCCTATAATTTTTTTTGCCCATTATCGGCCACAGAACTTTACTATTAGTTCTAGTGATCACAATGCAAGGGATAATAAATTTATCACTTATGGAACTTGATATGCCAGTACGAAAAGTTACAAAACTAGTCATGAGTATGTACATAATAAGTTATGAGATTAAATCTACAACTTTCTCAGTAATTTTGTCACGTTGATTACATTTCAATGATATAACATGAAATGTCAGTACTTCAATATGGCTATCTAGTATTTAATAATTGGTCATATTACAACTTTTGGTTTATATTTCAAAATTTTAATTTAATAATAAGAATAGGGTGATTGTCTTTTATTCATGTTTGTTAGTTGTTTAAAAGCTTCTCAATCTAAGAAGACTTAACATTAGCATTTTGTAAAAGGTGAACTACATCAATGCTCATGCAACATCAACTGTGGCTGGAGACTTGGTTGAAGTCAATGCTATTAAAAAGGTGTTTAGGGATACAAGTGAGATTAAGATGAATGGAACCAAGGTAAGATGGGGGATCCTAGCTAAGTTATCGCTAATTAGGTATTATTATCCAATTCATCGGTAATTGGATGTCAGAATGAAGTTAATTTTTGTGTTTTCAGTCAATGATTGGTCATGCACTAGGGGCTTCTGGTGGTCTTGAAGCTATTGCAACCATCAAAGCAATCACTAGAGGATGGGTACACCCAACTATTAACCAATATGTAATGCTCACCTTTCTAGCTTCACCATTTGTCACAACTTAATTAAGCTCTTTTTGTTATCTTTCACGTTTAATTATCATTTTCTTCATGTGCCTTCTAATCTCTCCAATGTCTTTTATAAGTAGAATTTGGAACATGAAGTTACCATTGACACTGTTCCAAATGTCAAGACGCAACACAATGTTAATGTTGGTACGTTATTTAATTATATTTCAATTCCTATCTGTTTTCTTTTTCTTTTGTTTGGATTTGAAACTAAAGATTATATAAGCTCGTTTTTGCAGCTATTTCTAACTCGTTCGGCTTTGGCGGACATAACTCAGTGGTAGTGTTTGCACCATTCAAACCCTGAACAACCATAACTCGAACTCTTTATTGTGTGTAGGCCTTCACTTTATATAGGCTTCCACTTTTCTGGTTGCTTTTATCACAAAGCTCATATACAAGAATATCAATATAATAATTATTGAATAAGGTCCATGTATGAATGTGAGATATAAAATTGTGTATTTTTGTTGAATAATTGTTCTTTTTCGCATTAACTTTTGTCATTTTTAATTAATTAATATGTGATTTTTATCATTTCTTACTACTTTCTCTTCTATTTGTGCAAACTTTAATTATATAATATTACTTAATTATTTCATGCATGAGTTAAACCTATTAAAAGTTAAAAGAAATTGCTCAAAATAAAAGTTAAATTTAGGCAAAGTTCTAAAATATGACTAAATATCTTGCCTTTCAAACTATGAATTATTTAGTCATCTTAAAAGAAAAAAAATTCACAAATTTAAGTCTTGTTTGAAATGAAAACAAGATAGTCTTATTTGAGAAAATATATTGCATACCCGTGTTTAATATTTTTTTTTTGAAATGTAGAGGGAGATATAAAACTGTTCTATAAAAAACCAAAAGACACACTAAGGTACTCATCTTGCCCTCTTTTAATCTATATACTCCGTATATATATAATAATAATAATGAAATAGTGGGAGGGACTTTTGGGCGAGAACACTATATCTATTTTTTTTACTTATTAATTAATTTATTAATTAGAAAAATTAATTACATTGGTGTGACAGAAGAAGCATTGGGTTAGATTTGATCACACGGCTCAAGACTCGAGTTTATCGTGAGATGTGTGTGCACATTTATTACTGCTTGCGCGCATGAGTTGCATTTGTGTGTCTTTTTTTTGTAGTTGCATCCATATGTCTTTATCTTCTTCATTAATAATAATACTTGAGTATAGTGACTAAGTTAATATTTGAAAATAAAGTTTTGAGATACCTTTAGAGATTTCTAGAACAAGTTATCGGGTTTAATTAGTTGCTCAATCCAATTAATATTTTAAATTCTGAAGCAATAAAATCGAGTATAAATAGGGGGTGTGGGTGCACTCAAATCGTTAGGCGTCGCACAGGTGGGAAAGCAGATGCAGTGTACATTGAAGTTTGGAAGTTCCTTAGAGATTTATGAGTCGGGCAATCATGTTTAATTAATACATTGGCAGTCTGCTATTGTGGAGGTATTTGGGAAGGAGTTGGATCGCAATAACATGTGGAAATGGGCCAATATCTTGGGGTCAACACGAGATACGCTTGATGGGGGCTAATGCCAACTTAAAAAAAGCCCACTTGGTTATTTCTTTTCAGTGTTGGGATATGTTTTTCTCGGATAGGATATAGTCAATTTCAGTAAAGCTTGGTTATGTTTTTCAAGTTGCTACGTTCTGGAGACTGGATAGTATAAAAAGATGTGAGAAAAAGTTAATTATGTAGATTATTTACACCTTTCTCATATTTGAAAGTGAAATAAACTTTGTGTGTGGGTATTTGCTAATTTTAGTCATATTTGAGTTAATTTTTTGCGGATCAATATAACTTTAGCACGATATGCCATAATGCTTAAATTTTAATTATAAATATTATTTTAAATAGGAAAAGGACTGATTTCTTATTTTCTTAGTTCCGATGTCATGTGTTAATTCATGTTAGCTGGCTCCAAACTTACATGGGAGTAATGTTTGGATATTGTTCTGAAAAACGTTTTCACTTTGATCCATTAAAGTTGAATCATTCTACGAATGAGACAATAGAAATTGGACCAAAAGGAAACTTTAGTGCGTTTTAATTTTGGAAGTTAATAAAGAAAATAATTTTCTTGGCAAGAGCATTTTGTGTTAACATCAAAACATTTTTTTAAACATAAAAAAACATATTTCAACTATTATTCAATAATAATTGAAATATTTAATATCTCATGGTATAGAAAAAAACTCGTGGATCACACAGGTACCATACTAGTATACATAATAATTAATTTTTTTTAAAGGAAACTGACAAATTATATCAAATCAAAAACTCGCAATACATCCCAGAGAATTGCAAAACATAAACGTAATCACCCGACACTAACCTCCTTCTAACCAGACATAACCAGAAGCCCACTGGCCCCCTCACTTCTTCATCAGACATAGAATAGACCACCCCAACAGAAGCGAGACTAATCGCTGAAAATGTGAGAGCTTTGAGGCTATTAACGGCTGAATCAGCCTGATTGCCTCTACACAAAAAGTTATCAACTAAAATAAACCAAACCAAAAACCTACCACCCTTATTATTTGCCCTAATAAAACTAAAATAAAGCGTAGCAAAAAGGACATAAAACAAAAATAAATAAAAAGCAGCTGCGTCGCCGTCTTTCAGACCTTTGTCGCGTGAATTCTTTGCGACGACAGTTCAGGAGAGGGACGAATCATCCACATCTCATCTTCTTCCCCCACCATCTTAGGCGACCAGAACAACCACGCCGATCTCCCAACCGCCGATTGAAGCCAAATTCACCTCCTTTAACCAGGGCCCCTACCGCCAACGTTCCACCTGGATCAAACACAACTGGCGCAACTCTTGTCTCAATCGCCATCAAAGCCAGCACAGCTAACCCTATCATAGGAAACTCGGATCTCGTAACCCTAGCCTTTGTGAATCCACAGTCGTAAGGCAATAAATTAATTGTTATACATCTAATCATTCAAGTCATACATTTAATACTTGTATACATACAAAAAGTGTACCTTCTTGTCTAAAAAAAAGGAAGTACATACAAACCATTTTGGTGTTGAGTTCATTCTTGAAGATCTGTTTGATATTCAATTATGAACTCACCTCCATGGAACTGCTCGGTTGTTTCTGCCCCCACTGTTTGCATCTCAATGAATGTTTGTTTTGCTTGATATAGTATGTCAGGGCTGATTTCTACATTATTCGGTAACATGTCCTGTCTTTCAAGTTTTTTCCTTTCCCATTTCCTACAGCTTGAAGTTGTTCCTCCCCCTTTGTGCTTTAGTATTTCCTCCATCACAAACTGATAGCTTATGATTAGAAAAATGTGCTTTAGTTTTTTCGGTTTTTACCAAAATATTTTTGTTGATTAGAAAAATAGTTATTGAAAAAAAAACTATATCAAACATTCAAACTAGTATTAATAGTTATACAGTACAAAAGCATACATAATTAAAAAAAAGAGAAGAAACAAATGCAGTTCCAAGCAATGAATTAGAGAGTACGTGTATACCAATTTAAACATTTTCAAAATTAATTAAATCTGTGAGTTTATTTATATGTGAATTATATACAATGCATTCGCAAGTTAAAATTTTATTAGTAAATAACTTATTCTACTTTCTTTTTAGAAAAAGATATTTATGCTGTAAAGTTTCACATTTTCTGCTATGTTGTTTAAAGTATAGTTTATATTAATACATATGTGTTCAATATAAAAAACTATGTGATAACAAACATATATACATAACATATAATATATCAACAAAATATCATTGTCACGCAACAACAAGCAAAATGTAAGTTACGATTTAAAATATCAGTTATGTATATGTACAAGTGTTTCACTTAATCAAACCATTAATATTAAATGTCAATATCTTGCAAATCATAATACATCTAGTATCAAACATTAATTTTCTAGAATTAAGAATTACACCGTAAGTACTAAACAAAATGTGATACTTAATGATTAGTAAATAAAATAACTAGTTTTATAAAGTTCGGTTTATTCAGTTCGATTCGGTTTTGAGATGTGAAAACCAAACTGAAACCAAACAACTATGGTTCGATTCAGTTTTTTGAGTTCGGTTTCGGTTTTCTTGCAATTCAGTTGTTTTGGTTGCCGTTCGGGTTTTTCGATTCGGTCGATTTTCGGTTTCTCCGACTCACCCCTAACCGATACCCAAAACTAGTAAAAAAAAAAACTTAAATTAGGCATTTGCTCTAATTATTTCCAACTCTCGTAAAAGCCATCCCCACAGCGGATTTCTCACTCCCAGATGGCGAACCAGTGAAAGCATATCCAGAGTTCATCGCTCTCCGACAGACCCATATTCAGCCATCAATACCCGGTAAACAGAAAATATCAGACATAAGGTTAGTTTTTCTCTAAAACTTCTGTCTGATTTCACTAATTTATGATCGATGGGACTATACTTGTTCAATGAATATACTATATGCTTCGAAACTCGTTCTAAAAAATTCTTGTTGTATAGTAAGGAATTAGCCGGGTCTGCCTACAATCTGGAATCCCAAAAATTCCAGTTTTTCTACATCAGATGCATTTTGATTACCCTACCTAATCTAGGCAATTCTACGATTAATTGAATGTCCTGAAATTGGAGATTTTTTTTTTATCTCGATGGGTGCATTCTTGCAGACCTATGGGAATATTTGCTAGTTTTGACTAGGTAACTTATACCTCATAGATACGTTCACTATCAAGGGATTTGAAATATAAAATGTGTAGATATAGGACCGAACGATAAAAACTATCTACCTAAGATCTAACGTTCCATTAATTTTAATACTTTGTACCTGGTGCAACCAATCTCCTAGGTAAAAGTTCTTCATGATGTCACGCAATGAACTCCCATGAGAGTATATTTTATAGCAAAGTTAGTTAATGTATATATTAGTACAGTACATTACTACTCAAATGTCAATAAAAGGAAAATTAATCTCTATTGTTTTTTACCTTCAAGTCAGGAGTAAAAATTATGCAAAGCTGACCCTCCCAAACAACACGAAGTTGGTCATAAACACTCTCCTGAACTGCCTTATCATATTCTATCATCGTTATCCCAGATAGAAATCGACATTCCCGTGGCATATCCAGGAACAAGAGCTCATTGACAACACCACTGCTGCACTTTTTTTCATTGAGCCTAGGAAGTACTTCGAAGGTTGCCTCTGATCATACCACCACAAAAGAATGAAACAAATGTTACATCAAGTCAATATTGAAACATGTTCAACAAGCCAAACTATAAAAATCATACTTTTCATGGCAATAAATAGAACATATACATCCATATCAATAGCATTTTCAAAATATAAATAGGCCAATTTTCAAAAGTGTTGAGAAAATATAAATAGGCCATTTAAGAGCATCAATTTCAGAGCATCAATAAGTGGGCAGACATTGCTTGAAACTACTTTTTGGTATAAAAACTAGTGTTGAGAATAATCATAAGTTGACAAAAGTGGCTGCCAAATGACAACATAATCTTATCCGCAATCTTGTATCTGATTCCAATTTTCAATACCTCCCCTGAACTCCCTATTATTAAAATGGCATATGATAACTCAAAAAATGATGTATTTAAGATTAAAAATGGGGCCTCAAAAAAGGCTATCTGTCTACAAGAACCATACAAGACCACAAAAACATGCTTATCAAATGATACTTTTAAAAAGCAGCATTAACAGTAGATATCAATAATACATAACTGTACAACTTAAACGATATGATGAAAAATAGAAAAGTTCAATATTTTTTACGAAGCATCTGTAAAAATATAGGCTATATCCTATATGCACATACTCGGGTAGAGATCATTGCCAAATAAGTGCATCCGTGCATATGCCCCATATTTACTGGTTTTACCTTCTGTATCACTCTACGCCATACATTTGGAGGCTTAGTGTTAATACACTCCCAAAAATCTTGTTACCTAGCTAAGAAATCGCCTCAAACACGCAATACGCAATTTCGAACCTTGTATATGTCCACCTACTTGTATTGCATTCCAATAATGTATATCTTGAATTTTTTTATATTACTACTTACGTCCTTTTTTAGTTAGCCATCTTTGACTTCTGTGGTCATAGGTCAATAATGCTAAACTTTGACTGATGGTATAATTATATAGGAAAAAGTTGCAAATATCCTGAAGTATATGTGGAGATGCACATGCACCCCTTAACTTCTAAAAGGTGCAAAAATACCCTATCTCTACAATCTAATAAGCCTGAATGAAGGTTAGGGTATTGTGGGTATAAAAAATTTGTTGGTGGTATTTTAAGCTTAGTTGATATGTACATAATGTTTAAATGCTTGTAACCTTTCAATTAACCTGGCTTTATCTCCCTATACTCCGTTTGTTCCCGTTAATATTCTAAGGCCCAACACCCTTTCACTCCTCGCTTCCTCTTTAACCGAAAGGACCATCCGTTCGATCGAATCAGGCCAGGTATATTGGCTTCGCCAACGGGGACTCAGCCTTCCTCTTTGACCGCACATCTAGCTCGCATCCTTTCATCTTCTTTGGCGTTTGTCTGTAAGTTTTATTTTTTAATATTTCTTCAATCGTTCATTACTCTGGCATTTATGAACCTGTTCAATTTGAGCACATCGATCCTTCTCTCCAGAGGAAGTAATGGAAATCCAACGGCCACGGTCATCTTCACTCCTTCTCTCACCTCGCCGTATAAATCCATGTTCTTCCGTTGGCGGATGACTTTTCCCGCAACCTCACACTTCTCCAGGCGCGTACTGTTCTTCCTTGTTTGTTCTTGTTTTTCCCCTTTTTCACGGGTTGCACAGTTATGTACTGCCATGGTTGCACTATCAAATCCTGTCAATTAAGAGTTTGTGTGTGCATTTAATTTAGGAGGCAAAATAGAATTTACGTACTGCACCCTAGGTGCTTGTTAATATGTCTAAATGATATTTTAGACTCTTGTGTTCACTTTGCTGATTCATGTGTGATTTCCATGCATGTTTCTCCCCATGAAGATTTTACAATTTTTTTTAAAGTTGACTGATTGCACCAGGTACTTTGTGTATATGATTGAATGGTACTAAAAATGTATAACTCTTTAACTACGACTTTCTTCAAAGATATAGTAACCACATGAAACTAAATGATGTTGTCCGCTAAACAAGTTGTGTTGAAGAGTATAAGCAAGACCATTGTGTGGCATATATTGCAGTAAAACCTTTCTGTCGTCGTTTAGAAGAAATAGTGAAAACTTTACTAGCCAATTAGTTGCTTCCTTGTTGCCTTCTCTTTGATTTCATGGCCAATTAACTCTACTTTTGTTGTTTACAAAAACAAAAGTGATTGTCCCAGGAGCACATTGATTTAGTCTTCAAACTTTCTGCCCGATTTGGAATTTCGGGATTTGGGTTTAAAGACAAACTAACTTTGTTGCTACTGTTTTTGAAACCCATGCTGCTTGGTAGATAAAAATATTCACACAATTTTAGAAACCCAAGCTGCTTGATAGTAAAAAAAAAGTATTTTCGGCTACAGGAAAATACAAGAAACATCAAATAAGAACTAGATATATTCTGATATGTGCTAAATATATTTTGCTATTTTTATATTCTTATAATATGGTAGCTATACATATTAACATGTCAAATACTAGAAAAATCAAATAAGAACTAGATATGTTGTGATATGTACTCCATATATTTTGCTATTTTTATATTCTCATCATATGGATTGTTGGTACACGTGTACAACTATAGTAGAGGAGGGACATTGCTAGAAGAATCTATAAAGAACATAAAAGTAGTGAAATAATAACCAAACTGAGTGAGTGTGTGATGGATGGTGTGATGTGCATGCGGTTTTACTTGGTTTGAACACGATTTTGCAGGTTCTATTTTTTTCCTGCCGTTCAACATGTGGTAGTCTTGCTGCTCCAGTGCACCTCACATCTAGAGAGGCCCACCGAGCTGCTGCTATATGGTTTGGTGATTAAAGAGAGGTTCGGCTTTTTTTCTTGAGAATTAATTTGTGGTTTTTACTATTCAAGCTCTTTTACTATATATCCATGTTCATGCTGGGAATTTTGACAATCTGGTCTGGATTTCCCCATATTTTTACTAAACTTAAGGTGGAAAAGGGTTCACTTTTTTTTATTATAAATATGTTATTGCAGTAAAAAAAAATCATAGGCAAACATATCTTCTATGCTTACGTATTCACTAACATACTATGGATTCCAAACCATAAGTTGTGGTGTTTGTTTTCCTCAATTTATAGACTCAAGGGGAAAAGTGTACTTTTGATCTAAAAAAGAGTCACTTTTGGCCATGACAGTTCCGGCTATCACAAATTGGAGAAGAGTATGGCCCTTGAATCCCTTTTACTTGATAAACTTTTCATCCCACTTTGCTGATTTCATAAACGATATATTTAACTATATTTCTGTTTCATATCACTTTAGATTACATTCAAAAATACGATTCCTGTTTCGTGGTTATAAAGTATGCGCCAACTAAAGCTAGGAATCCAATTCGATAGCTATGTATTTACAAACTAATAAAGATAAAAGAGGGTATGCACATTTATATATGTGAAATATGTGTGTGATGTACTAGATATGCCACATGTTCTATTGTTTTGGACCTTTGGTTGCTCCCCTCTATTCCGCATTTGTCCATTGAATTATACAATAAACCCTTTTCTCTTCTTGTCCACCCAGTCCAGATTATGTTTTTTTAATGATCAACTTACATTAATATTATACTCCCTCCGTCCCTAATTGTTGTTCCAAAGTAAAGTGGCACAGTGATTAAGAAAGTGGGAATTGTGTGGTGGAGAGTTGTGCAGAGGAGAGAGAAATGTTGTGAACCACAAATTCTTTGCCAAAAAGAGAAAGTGAACTTCTTTTTGGGACGGACGAAAAGGGAAAGTTGGAACTTCTTTTAGGGACAGAGGGAGTAGTAGTTTGAGATTTCCAAAATAGTTATTTAGTGTCATCCTATGCTGATGCCCTATTTACTATTGACCAAAGCATTGAGGTTTTAGAGCAAATGTGAAAAGGTGGGTTCAAAGTAGCACGTTTGTGTGGCTACATTGTTATTGGTCCAATGTAAGTTTTAATTTACTTGAACAGTTTTCCTCCTATTTAACATGGGATTTCAATTCATCGGAATGCTTGAGAAAATTGATTAAATAAATAGTAGATGAATTGAACAAATACGGAGTATCTTTTTGTAGGTAATTATATGCACCTAACAGCAGCAGTAGTGTTGCTCTCACTTTATATACATTTTGGACAACCAGGAGAGGCCATGATTTTAATTTCCTAGGACCATTATTCATGTTCAATGCTATTATGGCGCTTATGCTGTTTTCACTTATCTAGGTTTGGTTTCATTTTCCATATTTGTGTTGAGCTAAATTAATGATAGAATAAGAAGAAATCTTAGAGCCCGTTTGGCAACCAAGTTTTTTGGCTTATCAGCCAGTTTTTTTACCAAACACGTAACTTTTACTTTAGCGTGCCGAATTGTGTAATAAGCAGAAAAGGTATGATTCAAGTTACTTTTCTGTCGTATTGGTTGAAGTTACTGTAGATGACTATTTTAGCTATTTTTACATATAATAGAATATATTTTTAAAATATTTTTAATAAAATATATTTTTAATAATGTTTTTAAAATATTTTTAAAATATTTTTAACATCTACATATAATGTTTTCTTTATTTTATTAATAAAATATATTTTTAAAATATTTTTTTCTTAAATCAGCAAAAACAGCCAATGCAGTCACTTCATCCAGAACTTCATAAATTTTAGCAAAATCAACCAAACGGGTTCTTAATATGCTCTTACATTGCTATGTAGGTGTTTTTACTCTGGGGAAGATCACAATGATGATCTATGGGTGTCCGACATCAATAATATTTTGTGGGTACATCGTTTATGACACATAAAATGTTATCAAACGCTACAGTTATGATGAATTCATATGGACTGTTGTTCCCTTGTAGGCTTGTACCTAGATTTCATCAATCTATTTCTATCTCTCTTGACCATTTTCCGAGCTATTAATAGTTGAGGAGTGCAGTTAATTCCCCCTTTCTGCTCTCTATTTGTTTGTATTATGGATCACTTGCAGTGTTGTTCACATAACAATGAATTTGTATATTCATATGTACTGTTGAAGTTGAAATGTGATGATTTCCACTATGTTGCTTCCCTTTCCACTCTAGGTGTAGATTTACCTTCTCCCCTTCATAATTCATTATTTGCACCATTTCCAATCCTGCTTTTATTTTACTTATAATAATCCTTTAAGGCACTTTATCGTATGAAGCTTGCTTACAGTGTGTGAAATGGGATGGAAAACAGTAGAATAAGGTAAATTGCTCTGGTTTATCTCATGTTCTCCATAAACATGAGATAAATTTGATATTCAATATCCCCGACTTTCATGACTTTAATGTATGGTGCTTGACTTTAAAGTTGTGTATGATGTCTTTAGAAGTTCATTGTATGGCGTAAATGCTTAATAAAGAATCGCATTGGGCATTCAGCTAATCGCGCATCGCGCGTAGAAAAACTAGTATTCCTATAAAGGAGAAAGCGACATCAAAAGGATGCGGAGAAGTAGGTAAGCAGATAAGAAAGTAAACAAAGTACTCCAAACGTCCACACAACGCACCCTAACTAATGAACCAAGAAAGCTCTGAAATACCTTGTAGCAGTTTGCCAATTTCTCTCAATCATACCTGCTACCCTAATCCAGAGTCTATGAATCCCTGTCAGTGGTCATCCAGATATGTCAAACACACACTAACTAGACACAAACATCTAGTATTACCTATACCTTGAGCATTTTGACTACTATTGGCAATATTAGCCTGCAGAGGATTAGCCATGGGATTTTGTGCTGATTTTGTCTCCATTGACAACATCTTTAAGGATATCTTCCGCAGATAATTTGACTGCAATAGAAATTAAGTTGATTGAAGAATGTCATTTGTAGGGGTGGGATTTTGGAACCGGGAACCGTAGAACCGATTGGAACCGAACCGTTAACAACATCTAGGAACCGAATCATTAACAATTAATGTCTCATTTGTAGGAACCGAACCGAAGCAGGTTATAACGGTTCGGTTCCCGGTTCCTATAAAAAATATGTGTATGGAACCGTTAAGGAACCGTTATTAAAAAAAATAAAAAATAAAATAATATTGGCAGTAGTAGTAACAACAATAATAATAATAATAATAATAATAATAATAATAATAATAATAATAATAATAATAACAATAATAATAACCACTGCCACAACAACAATAATAATAAAACAATATAAGATATTTAACTAACAGTTCTAATTTAATCAACGGAAAAGAAGTAATAAATATTGTACATGATGTTGATATAATACATTAAACTCCTTTCTACAAATCAAGTTTTGTTCCATCACTTAAATTTTATAAATATAAAATAACTCAAATAACTTGTAGTTGATTGCACATATTTTATTTTACTATTTTCATGATATTTCTAATTACTAGATTTATTATGAATCAATAGAATGTAATAATGTTTTTTTATATCTATACATGCAAACTTTATGTCTTTTTTTATGTTTTGAAAGACTTGAAGTAGGCGTCCTATTGTTGCTACTATGATGACGAGTAACCTTCATCGCTCTGACACTACAACGATTTTTAATGTTTCATTTATTACATGAAAATTTAAATCACTTTTGTTCTATTAAGTGTTCAAAGTAAATTAGTTAAGTTTGAGCTTTGATGTTTGAAGTAATTAAAGCTTCAAATAAAATTTTAATACTCGTGTTTTGAATTTTCGACGTGTTTAAAATTATGTGTTAATTCTTATTAGATGAGAAAAAATTATTCTAGGAACCGGTAAAAGGAAGAACCGAACCGTTTACTACCGGTTCGGTTCCATAACGGTTCTTGATTTTTTATATAGGAACCGAACCGATTTAATTAGTTAAAACTTTTATAACGGTTCCACTTATTTTGAGTAAGAACCGAACCGGTCCCAGCCCTAGTCATTTGCGATGCATAGATAATCTCAGAACTCATAAACAAACATTTAACAGTTCAAGGAAGTTGACTAGATGAAGACTAAAAATAATGAATAACCAATACTATGCATACCTGGTTTGTAGCTGCAGCATAAATTTTTTCCTCAAACCTCACATCAATTTTCTTAAGTTCTTGCAGCCCCTCTTGTCCGGAGAATAGAAGATGTCGCTTTAAAGTTTCCATTCTATACCATCATATTGCATATATCAGTTAAGATAAGAATTGATAAGGATACCATCTCCAACCTTACAAGAGAACTAGCACACGGGACATCATCACATACACTGATACTACTCATATCTTACCCACCCAACCCACTAACTTATAGTCATGATTCACAAATATAAGCCTTGAATTTGATACTGCCTAGTTTACAATAAGAACAAAATATTGCAGTTTCGGGAGACTCCTGAATGAGCATAGAGACTAATGTTTCAATGTTTCAAGAGGGGTTCGTATTGTGTATAGATTGACGAAAGCCGAATAGGATGAAAAGTAGCAGCAAATAGACTCGTGTTCAAGGCATACAAGAAATGAAAATAAGACTAAGAGTTGCGTACAAAATGAAATTAGCCGAGGTTGCACCGATAAGCATCAACAACTAAATTCAATTACCGAAAACAAATTAGTAGCTGTTGTTAGGGACTGTCATCAGAATCCGTGAGCTTGAGGTATGTCAATTACGTCGTTTCCAGGAACCCAATCCCTCCGAGATACGGTAAACAGTGCTAGCTGGAATTCCAGATCCGGTTTCTTTCTACCTTACTCATCTATCTCCGCTCCGCTGCTAGAATTCTACAGATCTCGTCGCGTTGCACCCTTCGGAATTCCGACGTACTGGCTCGCTTGAGCCTGGAGAATGGGAAGGGTCTGAGTCTTTGGTTCTCCCTCTTTTTGGAAAGTCCAGACATTAGCTGACGGATACAATATAGGCATGTTAGCGGACGTTTCACGAATGAGCCAGACGTTAAGTTCGAAGGACATAAAAGGGATTAAGAAATATGGGGTATGTGTTTAGTAAAAAGAGGGCTGCGAATAGACGGTCGTAAGACAATAAATTAATTGTAATACATCTAATCATTCAAGTCATACATTTAATACTTGTATATGGCATGCACGAATGAAACTACAAAAAATGTACACTATGGGCACATATGCGAGTACATACAAAAAGTGTACCTTCTTGTCTAAAAAAGGAAGTACATACAAACCATTTTGGTGTTGAGTTCATTCTTGAAGATTTGTTTGATATTCAATTATGAACTCACCTCCATGGAACTGCTCGGTTGTTTCTGCCCCCACTGTCTGCATCTCAATGAATGTTTGTTTTGCTTGATATAGTATGTCAGGGCTGATTTCTACATTATTCGGTAACATGCCCTGTCTTTCAAGTTTTTTCCTTTCCCATTTCCTTCAGCTTGAATTGTTCCTCCCCTTTGTGCTTTAGTATTTCCTCCATCACAAACTGATAGCTTATGATTAGAAAAATGTGCTTTAGTTTTTTCGGTTTTTACCAAAATATTTTTGTTGATTAGAAAAATAGTTATTGAAAAAAAAAATATCAAACATTCAAACTAGTACTCCCTTCGTCCCCTTTTAAATGTCTCGTTTTACCATATTGGGATGTCCCTATTTAATTGCCCCATACCTTATTTGGTAAATTTTGTGTGGCTCAAAATTATTCTTACTTTATTCTCACTTTATCAATTAATATCAACAACACAAATTCACTTTTCCTAAAACTCGTGCCACCATCTTCCGTCCCATTTAAAAGGGGACGGAGGGGAGTATTAATCACTGTTACCTTAGCCCTTACTACCAAATCGGCTTCAAAATCGGATGTCCGACTTAGGGAGTGTTTGCAATTGCTTCAACTTTAAAAAGTGATTTTTTAAAGTGATTTTGGGAAAAGTGATTAATAGTAAAAGTTGGTAGTGTTTGAGAAAAAAGTGATTCTGAAAAAGTAAAAGTTGGTAGTGTTTGGTAAAATAAGTACTTTTTGTGTAATAGAAAAAGTGAGAAGCAGTTTAAAGCACCCTTCTACCTGCTTCCAGCTTTTAGCTTTTAAGTGATTAATTTAAGCAGAAGTTGTCATTTGAAAACACTCTTTTCAACTTTTTTTAAACCAAAAGCTGAAAAATGTTTTTAAAGCAATCCCAAACACCGCTAGGTTTTTACTTTTTAATACTTTTCTCGTTCGCCCAATTCGCCATGATCTTTCGCTCCGGACTCTAAAGCTATCTTTCTCCACTTCCCATCTTCTACGATTGACTACGAAGCTTCAAGTCTCAAGTTTCTAAGTAACGATCTCCCATTGAATAACCCTTTTCAATCTCTCTGCCACCAGCCAGTTGGAGGTAAGTGTTCATCCCTTCACTGATTTCACTCTATTTTGTTTTCATCAAATTTCAGCTTCTTAGGAAATTGGAATTATAATTTGCTGTTTACAATCTCAAAACACGATTAAAACAACTTATTTGTGGTAACTGTTAATGATTAAACATTCGGATGTGAAATGTTTAGAACATGCCCAAAGCATAAGCAGACACAAGGAACCCAAGTTCAACACGTGAATGGATAACTGTAGCCTTGACCCTCAAATGATTATTCTTCATACTTCAGATCAAATAAAGAGACTCAACAGTCAACACAATACTAAAATCAAAGATTTTAAGGATATATGTATATCTTTTGGATATATGATTAAATATATGGATGTCTATACATATGAATCTGTGTGAATGATACATATGAACTATAAAGTTAGAAATTAATGTAAGCAACTCAATATGGGAACTTTGTAAGTTAAGTGTTTGTCAAATGTCCTCAAACAAGTATAAACCATATTCTTTACTTCACTAGGTTGGAATATGGATAGATGAATTGTTCTTGCGAAACCTATACTTTGTCAAGCTAATTAAGTTAATCATTTCAGAATTCTTTACTTTATTAATAGGTTTACTGGTTCAATTTAAGACTTTAAGTTAATGTTAATAAAACTTACTAAAACCTTTAGTAAGTTTATTTAAATTAAAACTTTCTTTTATAATTTAATAACTCACTCAAACTTCTCTGTTACTTGCTAATATATTCATAATATGATCACTACTCCTTTCTTTTAAAAAGTCATTGATGCTGATTTTCTACTCCTAGCATTAAACTAATAAGGAATTGACTTCCTGTCCAATGCTTGTTTTAATTTGCATTTTGAATCCCTACTTAGTTGGCTGAATTTTTTTAATTGTGTTTACTGTTTATGTTTTTGGGATGATGATCTATTCTTGAACTTGTTAGGTTCATTGCTTGTTGAGTTGTTTAATGGAAAATCCAATTGTTTTATGGTATTAAATAATTAATTCTGGAACTATTTTTTATAATACTCCATCCATAAGGCTTGTATTTTTTACTGCATACACTAATACACCTGGGTGAATGACTTATTTGAGGCAGAAAACTCCTTGCTACCGAGTTGCCGATAAGTTGCCGATTAGTTGCCGATTAGTCGCCGATTAGTCGGCCTAGGCGCTAGGCGGCCCTCTGCCGCCCGACTAGCGCCTAGCGAGTTTTAGAACATTGGTATTAATAGTTATACAGTACAAAAACATACATAATTAAAAAAAGAGAAGAAACAAATGCAGTTCCAAGCAATGAATTAGAGAGTACGTGTATACCAATTTAAACATTTTCAAAATTAATTAAATCTGTGAGTTTATTTGTATGTGAAATATATACAATGCATTCGCAAGTTAAAATTTTATTAGTAAATAAGTTATTCTACTTTTTTTTAGAAAAAGATACGGAGTATTTATGCTGTAAAGTTTCACGTTTTCTGCTATGTTGTTTAAAGTATAGTTTATATTAATACATATGTGTTCAATATAAAAAACTATGTGATAACAAACATATATACATAACATATAATATATCAACAAAATATCATTGTCACGCAACAACAAGCAAAATGTAAGTTACAATTTAAAATATCAGTTATGTATATGTACAAGTGTTTCACTTAATCAAACCATTAATATTAAATGTCAATATCTTGCAAATCATAATACATCTAGTATCAAACATTAATTTTCTAGAATTAAGAATTACTCCGTAAGTACTAAACAAAATGTGATACTTAATGATTAGTAAATAAAATAACTAGTTTTATAAAGTTCGGTTTATTCAGTTCGATTCGGTTTTGAGATGTGAAAACCAAAACGGAAACCAAACAACTATGGTTCGATTCAGATTTTTGAGTTCGGTTTCGGTTTTCTTGCGATTCGGTTGTTTTGGTTGCCGTTCGGGTTTTTCGATTCGGTCGATTTTCGGTTTCTCCGACTCACCCCTAACCGATACCCAAAACTAGTAAAAAAAAACTTAAATTAGGCATTTGCTCTAATTATTTCCAACTCTCGTAAAATCCATCCCCACAGCGGATTTCTCACTCCCAGATGGCAAACCAGTGAAAGCATATTCAGAGTTCATCGCTCTCCGACAGACCCATATTCAGCCATCAATACCCGGTAAACAGAAAATATCAGACGTAAGGTTAGTTTTTCTCTAAAACTTCTGTCTGATTTCACTAATTTATGATCGATGGGACTATACTTGTTCAATGAATATACTATAGGAAAAATTCACACTAATAATCCAACCTATTCACTCTCTTCTATTATTAATCCCTCCTATGAATTATTCTAAACTAATAGGCTAACCTTCTCTAAACGCTCCATTAACCTGTAGCGATGGTCTTTGCCGCCTGCCGGTAATAAAAACTCACGTGCCTTCACGTGACTAATAACTTATCCACAAAACATTACCGGAAGCTTTAACGAAGCCCAGCGACGAAAGACTTGGACGAAGGAGAAGGAGCGCAGCGACTAAGCTTGGACGAACGAGAAGAGAAACATTCCCGATAAAGACCTTCAGTGGATCAGCTTCTTCGACATCGAACTCCATTACAGGTAAAGTCGGGTATTTAGGGTATTCGTAAAAATAGATGGGTATTCCACATCGAACTCCATTGAGGTTAACCCAGGAATAAATTTGGATGAATTTAGGGTATTAGTAATTTAGGGTATTTGTAATTTACGTTATTTGTAATTTGATTGATGGGAAAAAGTGAAAAAAAAGTTTGGATAGTTCTAAAGAATTTCAACAACCCTTGATTTCTGTGACTTAATAGAACCAAGATTAGACTGGATTACTTTCTGCACTCAGAGAGTTGGATAGTTCATTGCTCCTGGGAAACTGATCGGGTTCAGTGGGCTTCTCCCCATAACTCTCGGTTACAAAATTTATGCTTTTGCAGCCAACTAAGGACAAACTTCTAGAGGCAGTGATGTTCATACACTTGCAGAGGCGGTTCTGATTCCCAAGCTCTGAAATTCCCATTTTGTCTTTAAACTCACACATTCTAGGTTTTTACTTTTTGTTTTTGCTTCTTTAAACTACCCTTTATTTCTGTAAATCTGTAATAAATTTAATAATGTGAAATATAACCAAAATATACTGAAAATGACTTAAATATAACCAAAATATGCTGGAAATGACTGAAAATATAACCAACATCTTTCTGGAGTTTTATAGCAGTTCTGCAGGACTGAAAATGACTGAAATTAAGGAATTTGAATAATAATTTCAAGTAGTAACCAAAATGATATAATGAATCCACAGATTTAAAAACCGGATGACTTGCTTTACAACTGTATAATTAAACTGTATAACAGTATGAAGCAATTGATAATTAAACAACTCAAATCCATAAAACCAACTTAAAATGATATAATGAATCCATAGAAATCTGTTAGTGTAAACTGAAATGAACTAACTGAAATCCAGCAATAAGGAGCAATGACTAACAGAAATCCAACAATAACTTAAACCTAAACCTTAGAAATCAATTTAGAGTACAACAAACATCATCCAAAATACATCATCCAAGTACACAAAAAAAACAGAATACATCATCCTGAATGAAATACATCATAACAACTGAACTAAAATCCAACATTAAGAAAAGGAGCCATCCCAGGCACCATCCCAGTGAATTCATACATTGCTTGAAGGAGGGCAGGCATCCCCTGAGATTATTTGCGGACCTCCAACCTGACCAGGAGCCTACAAAAACGAATCAAACAATTTAATAAAATCCAATTGCACTACATATTCTTAGATTAACAAATGAATTCATTGCCAATTTTTAACTAGGTCAATCATAACAGATGAATTCATTCACAAATTAAGCCTAATGGCACTAGTGGCTTTTCACCGAGAAGCTTCATTCAATAATTAAGCCTGCATGGTACAAGGAGCAAGATTGTTTGGAGGCAGGTTGACATCGCCTCCCTTCACAGACAGATTACTACAAGTGCTCTTGATTGGGCTGGGGAATGAGGGTGACGTTTTTTTTACTAAGAATTTGAGACAAATCACCTAAACTACAAGACTGAGGAATGGGGTGGCCTTTTTTTATAAGAATTTGAGACATATCACCTAAACTAAAAGAACCCTAATTTTCGCCCAAAATATGCATACACGGCCACTACCCGGCCACACCAATACTAAGAATTTGAGACAAACATCTTACCATTTTCTGTCAACGAGCGGCTAGTGTAAAACATCCAGAGTAGCAGGCTGCAAATGGCGCCATCAACCTCTTCTGGACGGGAGTAAAGCTTCTTGAACGGAGAATGGGGGTGACCGTTGTTTCAGGAGGACGAGTGTTTCTATTTTGAGCGTTGTTACCTGCTAAAATTTTAATTAAACTGGCTTAGCCGGTTGCCAACACACCACGAGTGTTTAGGGAAGGTTAGCCTATTAGTTCGTATTAATTTAGAATAATACATAGGAGGGATTAATAATAGAAGACTGTCAATAGGTTAGATTATTAATGTGAATTTTTCCTATACTATATGCTTCGAAACTCGTTCTAAAAAATTCTTGTTGTATAGTAAGAAATTAGCCGGGTCTGCCTACAATCTGGAATCCCAAAAATTCCAGTTTTTCTACATCAGATGTATTTTGATTACCCTACCTAATTTAGGCAATTCTACGATTAATTGAATGTCCTGAAATTGGAGATTTTTTTTATCTCGATGGGTGCATTCTTGCAGACCTATGGGAATATTTACTAGTTTTGACTAGGTAACTTATACCTCATAGATACCGTTCACTATCAAGGGATTTGAAAGATAAAATGTGTAGATATAGGACCGAACGATAAAAATTATCTACCTAAGATCTAACGTTCCATTAATTTTAATATTTTGTATTTTAAAAAATTAAACTTTGCTCCGTATTTAACCTTATTAAACTCATTAACTTTTTTGAAGAAAAAATCATAAAAAGATAACAGTGAAATTAATAAATAATTAAATAAATCAAAGTCTATGATATTTTACGTCCTACGTTGATACTAAGCATATCTTGGGTCTTGGATTGATAATTCTTGACTATATATGAATTTGTTTGTGGATTTTTGTTCAGATTTAGCAATATATTGTTTCAAATTTTTTCTGTTGTTTATCTCGCCATGTAACCCATGTTTATATGACTAGATTAAGATTTCAGAACTGTGAATCTCCTAGTATTGTATTTCAGAACTGCAGGCCACTTGTTTGAGAAAATGTCTCAATCGAAACTAAAAGCCTTCTTATGTTTACTGTAGCTGAGCATAAAAAATGCTTGTATTGACGTTATTATTCACTCTTATACAGTTATACTACCTGATGTGGTATATTTTCTTCCTGGAGTATTATATTTTCTAGCTATGAAATTCACTGATGTGGTAATTTGTTAGCATACCTGATACCATGAAATTAATCTGATACACTATTTTAATTTTTAACATACTTGATACTATGAAAGTCACCATCTATAGTTATGTTTTCTATATTTTCATGTTCAACTGTCCTGTGTGCATCACAGTCATATTTAAGCTGAGAAGTTGTTCCTGAAAAACAAATGTGCTTTCTTGTGAATGTTAACTGGTGCATAAACTCTTTATTTCTCCCAACTAAAGAACAACTCTAGTTCAAAATTATTTATTCACTCCCTGTAATGACCATGATAAAAACATATAATTGCTGGACTAATACGTTGTTACATGGACTTTTCAGTCTGTCTACAATCTGGCATCATTTGGTGAAATATAAAGGAAAGCGAAAAGTTTGAAATAACAAGACAAAGTCATCTAACAGAAGCTTTCAGGCAATCATCTGGTGTGGGATGGAGTCGAATTTGAGACATGCATTAATACTACTTTATCTAACTGTATTTCCCATGATTATAAGTGTGAGGGCCTGGACCGGTGCTATCTATGGTCGAGTCGTGTGTGATGTATGCAGAGATTCTTCTATTGGCCCGGAAGACCATGTTCTGGAAGGTAATGCGTCATTTTTTTCTCGGATGCTTCTTCTTTTCCACTTATTTATTTTTAAAAATTGTAAAGTCATGCGGTCATGCCTCTTTCCCTTCTCAAAATGTAATTTGTAATTTCCATCTCCCAACAGACTAAATCACATTTCTGGCTAGCAGGAGCAGAGGTTGCTGTTCTTTGCTTAACAAAGACCGGTGAAGTTGTAAATTATCAAGCATTCACGGACTCGAACGGGATATACAGAGTAGCAGAAAGTATGCCAGAGAGTGATCGGTGGGATACATGCTTGGCTAGACCCATAAGCAGCTTCCATGATCACTGTACACACCTCAGAGAAGGCACCAGCTCGGGCATTAAGTTCAGATACAACCATCGATCTGGCTATTCCCATACGCTCAGACCATTCGTTTATCGGCCAGCCTCTCTCCCAACTTACTGCACATGATGATTCTCATTTCTTCTTGCCATAGCTTGGTTTGGGTGATCGTTGGGGAGGTGGATCAAGAGCTGCTGGCATCGGTGTGTTTCAATATAATGAACCAAATCTAATGATAATAAATTTTGAATTGATACCAATATTGACATCTTTATTCATTTTTTCCAATCAAGGTGAGCATACAGTTGAACCTCCAACACGTACACGAGTAGTGATGGACCCGGGCCGGGTCAAGGCCCGGTCGGGCCTCGGGTCCTATAACGGTAGGCCCGGGACCGGCCCGGTCAATGACCGGTTCCGGTTCAGGCCGGGCCACCCGGCCGGGTCACGGTTCGGGCCACCCGCCGGGCTGGGTCGGGCCAGTACAATTTTTTTATTTATTAATTATATATTAAACAAATTGCTATTAAAAACAAAGTTCAAGTGCATTTATTTGAAATAAGAACTACATTTGAGAATTGAGAAAAAAATAACAATACGAAATACATTTTGTAATGAATATCAATTGGGATTTCCGCCACCGTTGGTTGTGTTTTCCCTTTGTCACAGGACTTCATATGTTTTATTGGCATCCCGTATCCGTATGAACGCCCCAAGCAACAGTCTTTCTTGCACCACCTGCAAGTTGCCCATCACAGTCCGGTCTTCGGGTCCTTCCACTTGTCAAAATTGTTTTGCATAAGGGAAGATGTACTTTCCATATTTAATTTGGTATATGTATAAGTAGGAATGTAGGATAATAAGAGAAGATGAAGATGGAGAAGAGTTTGAGAAGAATTGGAGAAAATGTGTAGAAAAATGTTAGAAAATAGATGTATTTATAGATGTTTTTGAACCCCACTCCCCACACCACCACCCTCGGGACCCCCCTGCCCCCCACCCATAGTCCCAACGGCTATATAGCCGTTTGGGAGCTTTGAATTTTTTAGGTTATACACATATTGTAAAATAAATTAATTAATTTAATGAATTAAGTAAAATTAAAACTATTTGTACTTAGAAAAGTGGTTTGATTTATAATTTACAAATGTTACAAAATAGGTGTATAAGTATTTAAACAAATTACATATTCTAAATGTATTTTTAATTTAAAAACCGGCTTTATATTTTAGAAAAATAATTTTAAGTCGTTAGATTGTAACCAATTAATTAATTTGAGAAGTGCTACATATGAAAAAGTGAACACATATTTATTTGAAATATGAAGTACAAGTTTACAAATTAATTTGAACTACAACTACAAATTTACAATTTTGAAATATGAAGTACAAGTTTACAATTTTGAAATATGAAGTACAAGTATAAATAAATTTGACAAGTGCTATATGCCTATAAAATACATTTTGTAATAAATTCTAAAATACTAATCAATCGGAATCTCCGGCATAGGTAGAGCCACCATCGGTTGTTGAGTCATCCATAAAATCTTGGGAGGGGGTGATGCTCAATTCTTGAGTTCTACGTGCGGCCTTCAACCAATCGTGGTAGCATATAAGCATTTCAAGAGACTCCGCGCTCAATCTCGATCTAGATGCCGTTAGGATGTTGCCGGCCGAACTAAATTCTTGTTCCACAGCAACTGTTGAAACCGGCATTGATAGTACTTGCTTAGCCATCCGTGCTAAAATCGGGAACGTTCTTTCTTTTGACTTCCACCACTCTAGAACGTCAAAGTCATCATTTTCTTCAAAATCAACTTCATATGTTAAATACAAAGTAATCTCATTCAATGCGCTTTGTTCAGTGACGTGAGTTGTTTTAGTTTTTTTCATAAGATTGCCAAATGCAGATTTAAAAATCGATTTTCCTTTAGATGAAGATGTTCGTGACGGGGGAGGGGGAGCGTTGCTATATTGTGCACGAATTCATTAAATAAGGCATAAAATAAAGTACTAACCTCGTTGTATTCCGTTTTCGGATCTATGGGGTTATCTTCATACATTGGAAATTCACCGAAAAACGCAAGATAATAGAAGTTGAAACAATCTTCCAAATTAGCAAGTCTATAACGAGGAACGAGAATAAATGCAATACCATAAATATGAGGAATATGCGCATAATATTTTAAAAACTTTTCCTTCATATGATCACAAAAATAATGAACGAAAATGGCATTTTGAAATTCTTTAAAAGCATCGGCGAGATTAACAGCTTGTGGAATAAATTGGTTTTCGGTAGGTTTATAAACATGACTAAAAGTTTCAGTAGCATTAAAAAAATATATCAAAACATTACAAATTTTTTCGCAAGTGTCGATCTCAGCCGTGTTTATAATATAGTTATCATGTTCTTTTAAAAAAGCAGGAAAATGTTCTTTATATCTAAGAACAACTTTAAGTAATTTATAAGTACTATTCCAACGAATACTCAAATCTTTAGGAAAAGCAACATATCTCACACCTCTTTCAGTCAAATAACTTTGCCATTTTAATCTAAGTTGACCATTACCCCAAATACGTCTAACCCCCCCCCCCCCCCCCTTTTATTACCTCCATGGAATCTCCTAACGCTTTTAAACCGTCTTGCACACATAAGTTTATAACATGACATGCACACCGTTGATGAAAAAATCTACCCATCAAAGAATTGGCACCACACAACTCACGCAATCTAGGTATAGCAGTAGTATTATTAGTAGCATTATCGAAACAAATAGCAAACACCTTATCAATCAAATTATACTCAATTAAAATACGCTCAATCAAAATATAAATATGTTCAGCGGTGTGACGATCATTAAATTCACGAAAAGCAAGAACACGTTTATGCATATTCCAATCCTCATCAATATAATGTGCAGTCAGACCCAAATGATATAAATGATGAAAATCATCCTCCCATATGTCAGAACAAATAGTAACACGCCCATCAAAGTTTGCAAAAAAATTTTGTAACCTTACCTTTTCCGCATTATAAAGCCTTATTATTTCTTTCTTAACAGTTTTGCGACTATAATTTCTAAATTGAGGATTTAAACTACCTTGTGCATAATCTTTTAAAGCAAGACTTTCAGAAAACAAATAAGGCAAATTTTCTTCACAAATTAAGTTAGCCATACCAGTCAAATTTTGTGCATCATTGTAGGAGAAATTACCAAAAGGTTGAGAATTCGCAAACCTCGATATTTGAGTTTGCTTCCCCGTTCCGCCGCCTAATTTTGCATACTCCACGGGGTGCTTTGCCTTAAGATGCCTTGCGGCGGATCCGTATCCGCCGGAGGTTCCCAAACTATAATTGTTGTTGCACCACTTGCAAGTTGCGTGCCAATAGCCGGTTTGTGGGTCCTTCCATTTATCAAAATTATTTTTCATTAGTTCAGACTTACTTTTTTTATTACCGGTGGCGGTTTGGGATGAGGCAGGCGCGTCGGCGTCGTGGCTGCCGGCACCCTCCTCCTCGGCCGTCTCCGGTTCCAATTCCTCCGCATCTTCATCCTCAAGCTCCTCTTCGTCAATGGTCGTCGGCATTTGTTGTTGTTGTAGAAAGCGGTTATTATGTCGGGCCAATTCTTGTTGGAGTTGTTCTTCGGACATCGCATCTCCATCTCGCCTTTGGTAACCCGTTTCAAAATCATCTCGGCTTTGAGATGAAGACCCGGCAAGTTCTTTACCTTTGCGGGATTTCTTCCTCCCAATCTCGTTTCTTCGATTGCGTTGGAGGTTACCCAAATCAACCGAATATCTACCACCTTCCATCTAAAAAATGTAACAAATATTAATTCACAACAAATATAATAATGGATACAAAACTAATGCAACTAATTAAAACTATTTTAATTAATACTTCAAACTAATTTTTTGCAAAGTAGAATTAATGTGTGTCTCTACAATTAAAATTATAGCAACTTTTGAAGTAAATAACTAGTACAAGTAAAAATGTAACAACAATGCTAATTAAGTAGTTAACTAGTATAGTGACAAATGTAACAAACTAACAACTAGTTAAATAAAATGTGAAGTATTTTAATTAGTATAATGAAAAATGTAACAAGAATGGTAATGAACTAATTAACTAGTATAATGAAAAATGTAACAAGAATGCTAATTAACTAATTAACTAGTATAATGAAAAATGTTACAATAATGGTAATGAACTAATTAACTAGTATAATGAAAAATGTAACAAGAATGCTAATTAACTAATTAACTAGTATAATACTAGTTATAGTAAGTAATATATAATATAATGTTTATATTATATAATATATAAGTATACTACTATAAGATGAGTAATACACTTATATTTTATACTTTAATATATAAAATATATATTAAGTAGATGTAGAATGTATGTATTAAGTGGATATAATAATTGTATAAGAATTAAATATTAGAGTATAATGGAGAATTGGAGATTGGAAAATAAGTATATATAAAATATAAGTAGAGAAGTAGATATTATTATGTATTAAGTATATAGTAATAGTTTATAAAGTATATTTAATACTTTATTATATAAAGTATATATTAAGTAGATATAGTATGTATGTATGTATTAAGAGATATAAGTAGAGATTAAGTAGATAAGAAATATAAGTAGAGAAAAGAATTAATAAACAAAAAAGGAAAAGCTATATCTAATGGTTATTTATGTAGAATGGCTATGTATGTATGTATTAAGAGATATAAGTAGAGATTAAGTAGATAAGAAATATAAGTAATATAGTATATGTAGATAATAATATATAAGTAGATAATTAATATATAAGTAGATATAATAATTGTATAAGTATTAAATAGTAAAATAAAATATAAAGGAGAATAAGAGAATTTGAGAAGATGAATATGGAGAATTGGAGATGAGTAGAGAGTAGGATTTAGGTAGAGTTGGAGAAGAGGTGTGAAAAAATGTTTAAAATTAGGAGTATTTATAGGTTTTTTTTTAACCCCCACTCCCCACCCCACCCCCACCCAAAGCCCCCTGACCCCCCCTGGTACCACCCAACGGCTATATAGCCGTTTGGGGTGGCCGTTGAGCCAAAAGAAGCAAAAAAAATTTTTTTTTTTTTAAATTTTGGACCGTTAGGCCCGGGCCCGGGCCCGACCCGGCCGGGCCGGGCCTCCAAAACCAGGACCCGAGCCCGGTCCCGCTAACCCGACCGGGTCCCTGCCCGAACCGGACCCGGACCCGAGAACCGGGCCGGTTCCGGGCCCGCACAGTGGCGGGCCGGTCCGGTCCCGGGCCGGGCGGCCCGAACCGGGTCCACGCC